CCCTCAACCTTTCCTTGGCAGTGGGCAAAGAGGCCGCCAAGCGCAAAGTGAGGGCTTTTGTGGAGTTGAGCACCGGCATGGTGTACAAGTCAGATTCGTCGCCCAGCAAAGAGACGGACAAGCTGAAGCCGTGGAGCAAGATTGCTGTCTTCAAACTACAAGCTGAGGAAGAATTGGCCAAAATTGACGGGTAAGTTGAATACCACTGCACCAATGTTTCAAGACGGCGAGAGCCGGACGTGACCCCGCTAACCATGGTGCGTTTCCATCTCAATAGACTCAATTTGGCAATTGTCCGCTTGCCGCATGTATACGGTCCATATGCATCCCAGTGGGTGGCTACGGCTTTGTGCATGGCCCGTGTATACCAGCACCTGGAGGGTGAGATGAAGTGGCTGTGGACCAAGGATCTCCGAACCAACACAGTTCACATCGACGATGCGTCGCGAGCGCTGTGGGAAGTTGCTGCGTGGTATGCCGCCGGCAAACCCCAATGGACCGCCGAAATGGGGAGAGTGCCGATTTTCAACGTCGTAGACAAGGGCGAGACTAACCAAGGAATGATGGCTGCTATTATTGGCGACATCTTCAAGATCGAGACGGGATTCCAAGGCCAGTTAATCAGCACATTTGCGCGCCTGAACTTGGATAGTGTGGTGGACGATGTCAACGACGAGATTCTCGGTCCCTGGGCGGATCTACTTGCAGAAGCAGGAATCACTCGACCCGGCCCCCTTACACCATTCATGGAGAAGGAGCTTCTCAAAGACACAGATCTAAGCATGGACGGCAGCCGGTTGGAGACGCTCATCAAGTTTACATATGAGAAGCCAGTCATCACCAAGGAGCTGGTGGAGGAAGTGATTGAAAGCTACAAGAGAATGAAGTGGTGGCCATGAAAGGCATCCAGGGTGTATTGCCTTTTACAGGAGAGCATAAACGCCTTCCCTCCTTTCTCCTCCTCTTCTTTTTAATTTTCTTCAGTTTTCTTTCAATTTTTCTTTTTCATTTCATAATTCTCTCAGGCTCATCACCTCATCACGGGGAACACGGAAGGTAACGAGTATCTTTTTCTTTCCCTGGTTCAAGTGCGAAATGATTGACGGCACACCAAATCAAAAGGCAACTTTGCACATCACGCATGCCATGGTGGCAGAGGGGGACGCAGGATGGGCCGAGCTCTGGTTTTGTTCATACGACTGTGTGTGTGTGTGCGTGTGCGTGCGTTTTTCATTTCTTCTACGGTCTTGTTCTTTTTCTTCTTCCCCCATTACATGATTTGTTGTTTTGAACCAGAATTTCAAGCCGAGCAAGCACGGAGTCTGGCCTTGTATGATTAGGACATTTTTTTCGTAGGGGCGCATGCTGTTCCTACATTACCTTATTTGCGGCGACAAATAATCGCCCAACTTGAAGTATGTTGACATTGCAATAACATCAGTATAATATAGTGAAGCGCGTGATAGCCGGGCGTCGTCGGTCAAGTATCATTTGCCCGCTCTACTGTATGTTTATTGTTGGACGACAGGGAGGTAACGCAATGAGTCAGGGAATAAGTTGAAGGTGTGGCCGATTATTGCGAGGCAGATGACACGTCTCATTTCTCCAACGGTGACGCAAGCAGCAGCAAGGGAGAGAAGATGGACCCAAGGGGTACGGAATACTGACGTCGATTTTGTTCAAGCCACGATGAGGCATGGCCGTATTTGTACGTGCTGCAGCAGGCTGCGACGTGGAACGGGGTCGTGGCAGGGGCTAGGGGTGGTGACAGTACACAGAGCACGGAGTAGCAGTTGTACATGTGTCGTCAGATTTGGAGATGGTGGACAAAGGAAGGGAAATGTTGGAGGAGATGGTGGTCTCACAAGGTCTTGCTTGGTCTTGGAACCCATGGCTGCAGGGCCAGTTTCCCGTTTGCCTGCCTGCTGTGCCCCGTCAACAGGGCGAGGTGGACGTGTGCATCTACTCCGTATGCTCTCATGTTGCTCCGCGTCGTGCATAGGTTCAGCTCGTGAGCGACAAGGGGCTGGTTGGTGATGTTGCCATTGATAATCCGGTCGCGGATGCTTGGCACAAAGGGGGCAATTTCGGGTCTGTGTTGTTAAGTTAGGTAGGTACCTAGATAGGTACCTAGGTAAGTTAGTTGATGTAGGTACTCAAGTATCTACCTAGGTATGTACTCAAGTATATGTATATGTATGATGTATGTACGTGCTGTGCTGTGCTGTGCCGTGCCGTGCCGTCGTGTGCCGTCTTGGTGGTTGGCACCTGCCATCTGGCATCCCTTTGAACGTGCGAAGGTAGCGCTGGCTGCGGCCGTCCCACTTTTCCGCAGTACCTAGCGGATACCTTTTGGCAGGGCGTTGCGTTTACCGACAGCCCTACGGCTGCGAGGAGGGTGATGTAGCTCTTTGTAGCTCGGAATATTGCGCAAACTGTGATTCTGGCAGTATTTCTTTCTGAGTGGCGGGACGCAGCCCTTTTTCTTCTTCTTTTTTTTTTTTTTAATACCAGGACTTTCGTTGGCTGGGGCGCAAATGCGGGTGCAATCAATTCCCCTTTGCAAATTCGAAGAGGTTGATTGGTTGTCCTTTGTCTGCTCGGGGAAGTTGACCAAGGGAGACCAATGGTCCGTGCGGCGCGCGCAGTGTTGCTGCATGCTCAGCGCGACATGAATGACGTGCTTGCCTCTCGCCCTCACGTCCCTCACGTGCCTGCCAGTACTACTCCTAGGTGGTGAGTGCCTACTCAAGTAAGTAGCACCCATGTAGTCACTACAGTGACCAAGCGCCATGCCATGCGAGCACGTACCGACCGACCTTGGCGGCGGGGTAGAGTAGCGTCCGGTTCGTCTTTTGCTGATGATGCTTTGATGACCGAGGCCATCTCGACCCAGGGTCCAACCAAGATGAGTGGTGAGTTGCGAGTGGCCAGCCCCTTGTTCTCGTTCCTGAGGTGCGGAGCAGGTACGTACCTAGGTAGTCGGTGGTCTGTTCCCTACTCCGTACGGAGTACCGAGTTACCGACTGCTCCGGCTCCCTACTCCGGGCAGACGTCGCTGCCTCGGCCTGCCAAGGCACAGACAGCAGCACGCTGTCGCGGACCTGACCCGGGACCCAGCCTCGCCGCCTCGCCTCCGCTCCCCAGAGACACATGATGCGCCGCGCCTGCCCTGCCCAGTGCCGACCACGTTGCGCACAAACATCTCTGACCCTGCATAAGTACCATACCCCGTCGACTGGCACCGAGTGCGAAGCAACCACTAACTAACTACTCCGTACCACTACTCTGCTTCTTGTCAGTCCATCATATATAAGATCCACCTTGTCTCCGTCCCCGTCTCTCCTTCTCGTCCCAGTCGCTCCTTCCTCGTCAACATACACAACCCACTGCATGACCCCTCCCTGCCCGTGTACTGGTCGTCCCCTCCTTTTTTTCCCGCCCCATTTTTTGTGACGCTCTGCTCTTTCCTTTCTCCCGAAAAAGCTTCAGTTCTCAGTCAACCCGCGTTGCCGTCATTGTCGAAAATGGCTGCCCCTGCAGACAAAACCTTGAAGAACCTCAACGGCCAATGGACGGTGGTAAGTGTCGCCGATGACTTCGCAACCCCAAAAAGGGTGGCAGGAACGTGGTGGCTGGCGGAGCCCAGGGGAGGAGCCCAAAATCACATGTGTGCTCCGTATAATACGGAGTAGTGGGGTGAATCACATGTGACGACGGCTCGTGCCTCATCGTCAGATTCACCAACCACAACCACAACCACTTGCACCAGCCAGCCACCAGCCACCAGCCCGACTTGATGTTCCTCTCCCACTGCCTTTTCCAAGCATCCAGCGGTACGAAGCTCGAGGACAAGCTGCTAACGGCGGGGTCCGCGGGGGGGGCGCGCCGCCGAGCGAGACATACCCCCTTGCGACGACGGAATTCTAGAACAAGGAGTTATCCGAGTCTACCGACGCGGCCCTGACCATCCAGGGCATCGGCTACCTCATCCGCACGGGGATCAGCTATGCCACCGTCAGCATCGGCGTGAACCAGTACGAGGCGCCGCCCAAGCCGCCCAACGAGTCCGCCGACATCTTCGTCCACATCGACATTGAACAGTCCGCCTCTGGCCTCGCCAACACCCAGGAGAACCGGTGCCTGGACAACACCTACCGCGAGCACAGCGACCGGCTGTTTGGCCACGTCAGGGGCCGCAGCACGTGGCTCGCCCCGGACGAGATCGAGGACGCCTACCTCAAGAACGGCTGGGACGCCGAGGCCGACGGCAAGCTCATTTTCAGCCACGTCGAGAGCCTGGATGCCGGCTGGACTGCCACCCAGGTTTGGGGTTTCCAGCAGGTCAATGGCGAGCGCCGTTATTGCCGCAACATTGTCGTCGCGAAGAATGACGAGCGCGCCGAGTTTCGCCTCGTCTACGACTACACCGCCTAGGCTCGCTCTGCAAAGCAAAAAAAATAAAGCTGTAAACGTGACATGAGCCAAGAGGTGGAAGTTGTTACGGGGATGGGACACGACAGGTCACCAAGGTGAAGAGCTCATCATGAGGGACGGAGTTGGGATGCGTTTCATGAATCGGGGCGTATTGGGTACTTACCAAGGCCTACGTTGTCGATAGCAATTGTCGCCCATGCATGTATCATGCAACGCAACTGATGCAAGCGTGGCTGATGGATTTTTCCCACATTAGTCAGTGCTCTGCAGAGACGCCAAGGCCATCGTCACCCGGATTATACGTGGTTGCACAACTTTGTCTTTGGACATTGACTCGCGTTTCTTCAAGTCAACATGAATGCCGTGCTACAGTCAAACAAGACCAACTCGCTTCGCTCCTGGCCAAGCACGCAGTGCTAGGCTATATATGGTCTCATATTACAGCACGCGACGTCTCCTTGGCCGCCTGGTAGCTGCACTGTATCCAAGGAGCCTTGCCGTGTAAGCAACCTTGCGAGCAACCTTGCGAGCACCTGGCAAGCGCTGCTTCCCCCGCGTCGACGTCATGACGCAATGTGTCTCTGTCTCATGATGTGAATCCTCGGGGCCATCCTCGGCCCAATCCACCAACCTCCGGTATGCTTCCTCACCATGCCCCTTAACCGCCTGATGTCCGCTCCCAGCCCAAGAGCTCGGTACTTGTCCTCTCCCCCTCTCTGTCCCGGTCTCAGCACTTCGATTCCGCTATACCCACACACGACCCCGACCACATCCCACTCCCCCAACGCGAGAGCCGTATCCTCTAGCAGTACATAGTCAAACTGCTGCCAGAAAGATGGCCACCCGAGCTTCTCATTCTTCTCCGTCTTGTCGAACAAGTAGACCGTCTGCCGTGTAGATTGTGCATCCCGGGAGTCACTCAATGCAAGAGGCAGACCGTGCTTATTCTGATTGAAGAGTGTTATTCCCGTCATGCAGGCCAAGACGTCGGCGTGGACGGCTATCGGCGTTGCATTCTTGTCCGCCAGGCTGTACAGCTGGGTGAGGGCTTCCCCGCCGGGGTAGTTCAGACTTGAGAGGAGAAGCATGCCCGTACTGGCGGAGAGAGTAGCTAGGATGGAGAGGATCAGTGTGTAGGTTGCGAGTTTGAAGATGGGCGATTTGGAAACGCGTGTCGAGATGTAGTTTGCGGATAGGGAGGCGGACAGGACGAGCGGAGGAACGGCGTAAAATATGAAGCGGGTTTCTTTATGCGGCTGCAGCGAGTAAATTGCTATGTAGGATAGGCTGGGCAGTAGGAGGGCTTTAGTCTGGCGGGACAGAGCTGGATGGAAAGCTGACAAGAGTATCAGTGGGAGGGCCAGCGGGTTGAGGAGGAGCCGGGGCAATGCCGACGTCAAGTAGTAGTGCCAAGGGGACGTCCCCCAGTCCGAAGACGAGCCTTGCACGGCATTGAAGAAGAAGCCCCAGAGCTCGGGCCACAGGGGCTTCTGCCAGAAGTAGCTGTCTATGGGCACAGAGATGAGAAGCGAGGCCGCGGCGGAGAAGGCGCCCACAAGGGTGATGGTGCGCAGGGTCAGCTGGTTCGTGAGTAGGAGGTAGACGCTCGTCGTGAGGACGAGAATGGCGATTTCAGACCGGAATACTACACCCGCAAAGGTGAGGATGCTGAGGGCCTGTCTGGCGCGGACGTTGATTTGCGCAGGAGATGCCTTCGGCAGGAGGAGCGCGAAGGCAAGTGTTGCTATGAAGCACAAAAAAAGAAAGAAAGGTCAGTATCACGCAAAAGTTTAGGCCGTCAGAGGGCAGGGGCATGTGGTACTTACTTAGTCCAAAGGCAAACATATTCGGCAGCGTTCTCCCCAGATAATACACCAAATGGAACTGGCTCATCATGAGCGCCGTCCACCACCTCCCCGTCCCCTTGCCATACGCCTGTTGGACGGCGTTCCTAAAGACCAGAAGACAAGAAGCGTTGAACAAAGCCAGCACACATCTCACCACGAGCTGGGCATGGCGAAACCCGACGAGTGCAATAAAGGGCTGGCTCAGACCCGCGAGGAGGACGGCACCGATAAAGGTCCGCGGCACGGCACCAGGGAAGCTGAGGTGATCATAGGTCTGGACGAAGCGCTCGTGGATGTTCGAGGTCGGGGTGCCATAGATGAGCACATCATGCGCTGCCTGCAGGTTAAATGACTCTTCGACTTTTGTGTGCGGAGCGACCAGGATGTGTATCGCGGGCAGGACAAATATTAGAGATGCGAGCAAGACATCTGAATTTCATCAGTCGACGCTTTGCAAGGCGAATTCAGCCTGGCGAGTAACTAGCAAGCGAGCGTGACACGTACCAACGAGCGCCATCGCGAATCGTGATGGGGACACGCGGCAAACAGGTGGAGGGAGGCAAAAGCGAGCACTACGCCATGTTCCTGGGCTGTTGCGCAGGAAAATACGGGCGAATTTATCTGTGAAGCCAAAAGCCTTTCGAAAAATGGAGGGCAATTGAGGAAGCCTTGGAACATGAGAAGTCGAGTACCACCGAGACAAGTGCACGATGGGCAGGGGCACTTCACCTACTTGCCCGCCACATGGCTGCCCCGACCAAGCTTTGGCAGGTGCGGCTCCGTCGTTAGTAAGTTAGTTAGTTGCTCCCGGATCGGCGCAACCATCCACCGCCACGTATTCACAACCACCATCTCCCTCACAGTCCCCTCCTCGCCCCAGCCTCGCAACAAGGCCAGCACCATGTTGTTTTTCGGCAGCTTCCTCTACATCGCGGTACTCCTGATCAACGCCGTGGCCATCCTCTCCGAAGACCGCTTCCTGGCGCGCAGTACGTCCCCCCACCCCGCGAGCGACAAGACGAAACAAAATACACGTGCAGGCCCAAGCTCGGTCACTGGCATATCGGTAGCTGAACGATTTTCTCTAGTCAACCTCTCTCCGGCATCGTACGATCCGGCCTTTGGCACCGGCGCAGATGCGACCGTCAAGGCCAAGATCATCCATTTAATCGCTAGTATTCGGACTATTATGAGGAGTGCGTTCCCCCCTCTTTCCCTGTTTCGTGTGCGACAAGTAGGCGCACCATACTGACGCCAAAGCCCAGTGCCGTTGATATTTGTCAATTCGGTCATTATTCTGTACGAATTGATACTGGGTTGAAGCGATCATCCTCCAAAGAGAAGGCCGCGAAGGGCGTTAAGGGCGTAATTTTGGGGGCTATCATGAGCGTCATGGCAATGGCCATTGCACAATTTGTCATGCACAATAAATGGCCATCTGAACGGTTGGTGTATCCGGCATGACCTACACCACAATGTACACTTAGGCAGTGCACGACTTGAAGATAATTGAGACATAATTCAAGACGACAACAGCAGGATGTATTGATCTCCAAAGAGAAGGAACAATAGCAGATATCCACCATGCTGAACGCACTTGGTGCTCGTCGAGTCTCCTATCCTGGTAAAACGACCATCTCTCTCCCAAACCAACGCCGTGCCGCGGTGCCCCATGCTTCGAGTTACACTGCCCCCAAGTCGAGGATGATTGTCGCTCCTAATGCTATTTGCTTCTCACCATTGACACCTTTGCCATTGTGAGCTCCTAAACAAATATTGACGTGTACAAGTCCCCAGGCAAGTAATGACCCATCATCAATCATACAGCGCTGAAATCCATTCCGAAACATTTCGCAGAGCTTTTTCCGGTGCCTCCTGTGTGTTCTTATGCAACTCACTTCATATTAATTTACCCATCATCATGACGACAGTAAATTGCTGCTCTTCTTTCGACCTAATCCCATGCTGAGCCGGCTCTTACTAGCCTTTTCTGTCGTCTCCGGCGTATCGCCGTTCTCGTGGTGCACCGCGGCACCGTCGTTGTGTGCCTTATCCTTGTGGAAGAAGCTGAAGCTCCTCCGCGACATGGATTTACCGCCCCTCTTAGACCGGTCGAAAAATCCCATGGCGGCTGATGCAGAGCCATTCTCTTTCTTCCTGGTGCCCTCTTCCTGGGCTGCCGTCTTCTTGCTGGCATCCAATACCTTTTGCAATTCTTCCTGTTCAGTTCTGCGGGCCTGGATCCTCTGTGCTTGCTCTTCACGCCGCCGTCTTTCGTCGTCTTTAACCTGTCTCTCTCTGACTTTCTCTTCCTCTTTAGCTGCTGCTTTGGCCTGCTTCTCTTTATCCTTCTCTGCTTGCTTGGCGGCCTTTTCGGCAGCCTCGCGCTCCTTCTTCTCCCTTTTCTTGTCTTCTTTCGTCTGCTCGTTTTGTTTCACCGTTGGTGTCCGGACAGAGCCTGCGACTTCCACCGCGACGGGAAGGCTGGGCATTTCGCCTAGGGGAAGCGCTGGGGTGGGCATATCCGGTGCCGTTTTCGCGTGTGCGAGACTTGACAACGAATCATGTGCTGGGATGGCCGGCACTGGCTGTGTCACCTGTCTCTTCAAAGGGGTGGAATCCCCCTTGTCACTGTCTTCGTGGGCCACATTCGCCGCCTCTGTTGCCAATTTGACCTCTTCCTTTCCCTCCTTTTCTTGCTCCTCTCTGACCTTGTCGAACGTAGTCTCCTGATAAAATAAGACATATGCTGTGGCCATGCCCGGCTTGTCTCCGAAAAAGTTACGCACAAAGTGATTATCAACAGGCTCAACCATTTCATCGTCAAAAAGAAGCCATCCTCTGTCCTTGGTTTTGATAATCGAAACGTAGTGACCGTGGTACGCATTACCACCGATATGGACGACGACAGCGTACAGCTCGTACAGTCGGTCGGGGTCCTCTGCATCGTCCGTAGTGTTGAACATGCGGAGGTGGTATGGATAAACGACTCGGTGGAAGAGCTTTTGTAGCCGGCTATAGTCCTCGGTGTACTTGAATCGCTTCAAGTGCAGAGTTAAAACCTTGGGCAGACGCTTGACCTTCATGCGCTTTTCGGCTTCCTGCAAGCCGCCGCAATGGTCGCAGTGAAATTTGTTTCGCTCACACAACATTTCCTCGGCCGAGAACTTCCGCAGGCACGACGTAACGGAAGCGTGTTCCTCCAGATCAATAGACAGGTCGAGGAAGGTCTCATCACGTTGTGATGCCGTCTCGCATGTTAGACACCTCGTCTCTGACGTAAGGACGCCTTCAAAAATATCGTGTACCCATCCAATAGCGGGAGACTGATAGACAGCTGCTGCGTGGTTGAGCGCGGCAGCACCAATTATATTTTCCACCGACTGTGCCAGACCATCCTGCCCGCCGGCTTCCTCCAGTTCTTGAAATTTACGGGCGGTCTTCTCCACATTGGAAATAACATCGTTCAACACTAAACCGTAAAATTCGTGCGCATCCTGATGCATGGAGTTTCGAAACATTTCGTTGTCGCGTTTGAAAATCTCTAAAAATCGCTGTGGGCTCAGAACACCGGTTCGCGTATTACTTTCGAGGAGAGCCAGGAAGATATCCTTGAGCCCTGTAAATGTACACTCGTCCATGCCGTATGCAACTCCGTTCTGGCTCGCCAGCTCTAATATGGGACCTTTCAGCATGGCCTGCTTCTTCTTGTACTCGGGTGTGTCGGGTTTGTCCTCGGGCTTCACAGCCGGCCCAGCGGGACTCTGTCCCACATTGATCGCCTGTCGTTGCTTAAGAGCCTGCGACGTCGTCTGACTCTTCCTGTTTGGTTGCTGGGTCGGCGGGTTCGGATTCATGGGAGGCCTGAGGGTCACATTGACCCTGGGACGTGCTCCGTTCGGCTCGTTCGAGGCGGTGTTGGGAGGATAGTGTATGACGCTCTTTCTGAATAGATCAGAGTAGAATAAGGCTTGGACAATAGAGTTGCAGTAACTAGGATGCTGTTGTAAGTGAAGCGGTCTAGTGAAGGAAGGGGCGATGTAATATTCGTTTCGTACCATGTGTTTCCAAACTGCAGCCCGTCCCGTATTTGTTAGCTTATAGCCTGCTCAGGTGTCGTGGTGGCGATGTCGTTGCCAGGCTTCCGAAGATGGGGGATGTGTGCGATGCTTACATTCTCAAAGCCAAAGAATCTGTCGCTTCCATCCTCACGCAACGGACCTGCATTTTGCAACATCTTTTCCAAGGGGGTTACTTCAAAAACAACATCGTCCTTCTTCTTGGCCTGAGTTTCTTTGGATGGCTGGTTCGGTGTGGCCTTGTGAGATGGATTTTGTCAGCACAACGACCGTCACACGCGGCTCGACGACGAGTGGACCGGAAACAGGCGAACAATGGATAACGCTGGTGCGGAATGAACCGAGCCGGAGGGGGAAGGAGAGAAGGGCAATACATATGTACATGTATCGAGAAAGAAACCACGCAACAAGACAAACATACCGAGCTGGCACTCTTAATTTTGGTCAAGAACCCAGCCATGATGGCGTCGCCGGCAGACGTCTAGGGCTCGTCGACACCTGGCAGCGAGTCGCGACAACGTCAGCTCAGTTGCTGGGCGGAATTGGCAGCCACAGCTGCGCAGCGCCAGCAAAGCAATATCGATGACAGTAGATGCAAGGTACATTCGCATGGGAGCCGCTGTGGTCGATTGTCGAAGCGAATTGCCAGCCTCGGGATGGTGAAGAGAGCAGAGGAAAGTTTGCAGCTTGCCCAGACGAGTCAGCGTCGGTCGAGTTGGAGCGTGCAAATGATGGAGCGATGGAGCGACGGGGCGCAGGTTGGTCTGATGCACGCCCAGAACTGGCCCGTGGCCGTCAACGGCTCTGGAGGAACTTGACCTGGGGATAAACAGGAGCGCAGGGATGGCGTGGCGTTGCGCGCAAAACGTGGTTGCGTGGGATGGGGAGGGATGGGGGATGGGTGGTCCTTGTCTCCTCGTTCTCGTCTCCGTATTCCCTACTCCGTCCTCCGGGGACGGGGTAGAAAGTGGATGACGACTTGGACGGGATAGGTACCGAGTAGTTACTTCGGGCAAGACCAGGGAAAAAGTCGCGCCAGGCAGGAAACAGGCTGAAGGCCGGACGGCTGATTCAACAGGACATGGACATGTCCGAGATGCCGAGAAGTGCTGTCCCGGGTACAATGGGGGATGGATGGCAGGTCTTTGTATTTCGTCCGTGTAGATGCTTGGGTATTTCGTGATTTGTCCGAGGTGCTGTGGTGGGACATCGGCGTACGCTTCCAAAGTTGGCGACAGGAAAACTATCCTCGCGCAGACTGTATTTCCCGACCGCTGCGGACCAAGCTGCGTGGGTGCACAGGCGTTTCAACGCAGGAAGGGAGGCTGCCGCAGAAATCAAGACGGACCACGCAGTTCCCGAGGCGTGAAGTGAGGAAGTGAGGAAGTGATGAAGTGATGACGAGCACAGAATCACTGAGTACTTAGTAACTGAGTAGTACTTGAGTAAGTAGCAGCCAGTACCTACTCGAGTACTTCCTCCGTACCTAAAAAAGTACTTGGAGGTAGCTAGGGGTAATGGTCAGGGAGCCGGCGGCAAGGGAGGCAAGAGTGCACCTGCCACCTGCCAACTCTAGAAGTACTGTTGGAGCAACTACTCCGTACGCGAGCGCCTGTTGGCAAAGAAGAAAATGGCATTCCATGCCATCTTTGCCGTCCTTCGACACACCGCTGCCCTATCTCCTGCTGGGGCCAAGTCCACGACAAATTGAATTCAGCCATCAGCCGAGTCCGCTCCTCGGTGGGCTCTCCAGCTCCCCAGCCAGGGCCAGGCCAGTCACACGCAACACGACACTCCCACCTCGAGATTGGCAGTGCCTCAGCCGAGGGTTCAATTGTTCAATTGCCGTTGGCTGCCTGTGTTACCGGTAGTACACATGAACGTACCGAATATTCCGTACAGCCCCGGCTTTCTTGCGTCTCGAATCCTTTGTTTCTCTCCGGATGTCGAACCCAGTGCCCCAGGTACAACAACGGGACGGGGCTGTCTGGGGACGCAAGGATCCCTGGTCATTTGGCTTTTGGATTGGCGTCGTCGAGGGTTGCAGTCCGCGATACGGCAGCGCTGAATGGGCCCATCATCTCTCAACTGCCTGGCCAGTCGCCGATTGGCCCCCAGCTCTCCGCCTGCGTACTTCCAAAATGCTTCTTTTTTCGTGCCATTGCACATCAGTTGTCAGTACTCCGTATCCGGCGGCTCGAGTACGACGAGCATGAAGCCAACAATTCTTCAGCAAAAACAAAGATGGGGTGCAAACTACGTCCGTCCAGTCGTCATGAGCTGGGCTAAACCAGAAGCAATTGCGGAGCATCGAGGCTGGATCCTGACCCCCTCGAGCCCGCGTCACGCCACTGTTGAATGCAAGCTGTCATCCTGCACGCAAGAGCCGTGACTTGACACAGGCAGAGCTAGTGCTAGTTGGGTGTTATTCGATGGCTCCCTGGTTACATTTTGCTGACACTTAATCAGTCTCGTTGATACTCGCGGCCTATCAGGTTGGCTGAGCACCGTCATCCATACTTGCGAACGGAAACCTTGCTGCGACCGAGCACATCCATCGGGTAATGAATGGCGCACGCATACATGTCCAAAGTCTCGATTGCTCCACATTGCGAAGCCGCGGGATGAGACTAGAAACAGGCAAGGAAGGTTTTAATCACTTGCATACGGAGTCCTGTTCGGCGCTAAGGCAGCAACTTGGGGCTTTGCCAATTCCAAGGGATCCTCCAGCCGCTTTACCCGGTTTGTGAATTGCTGGCGACGGCTTTGAGCCCGGACTCCGTAGCGAGTTACATGGCATGGCATGGTTAGATTGATGCTTGCGCCTGCCTACCCCTCTCACTCGTCTTCCTTGCATGGGTTCATGAGAGAGCGATCGATTTGGGCGTGGTAATTTAAAGCCACATGACTTACAGCAAGCTCGCAGATGATTCGCCTGGCATGCATATGCATGATAGCAGTCTGCGACAACCACGACCTTCCAAAATATGGTGTGCATTGCCCACGGAGCGGAGGAGTGACAGTGAGCATTATCAAGTACTCCGTACGTACGAAGTAGAGGGTCCAAAGTGGGGTTGCACTCGATCGAAGCCAGAACCAGTCGACCGGTCCGGTTGGGCGCCAATTCATGCTTCTTTTCTAACATAAGCTCAACAAACCCCCTCGATTTTCATCTGCTCTGCAGAAGCGGACCAGCAAACAAAGGGCCACGGGCGGCAGGGCTGACGTCAGAGCACGGCGACCAGATGTTTCAGCGTGCTGGGTTTGCCGTCAATGTCTACAACCCACGAAGGGCTGAGCACTGCTACATGACAGCAATGGTTGGTGCCAGCGTGTCCCCGAACGCTCGAAGCGCCATGATCTGGCCGTGGCAGCTACGCCTCATTCGTGCTTCAGGTGAAGTCGCCAAGGTAAAACGCACGCACGTGTTGACGATGGAGACTTGATCTGCAGGGCAAAAGTGCGCACTTCTATTTACGGAGTAGTGCACACATGAGTGGCACAAGTCAGAACTCATGCGCAGACGCGGATGCGGATGCAGACGCAGAAGTAATTATAGCCCTGTCGCACAGCATGCGGTGATGCCGCCGGCGCTTGGGGGGCAGCGATGCTGTCACAAGATGCGATCATACCGTACCACCATCACTTCCAGACCAGAAGCACGGCAGCGCAATAGCAGCTGTGCTCAGGGGTGCGAGAACCCCTTTTTTTGCCCCAATCTTCTGACTGGAATAGCAATGCAGGTTTCACCCCGACATGACTCCGCCCGCTAGTGGAGTGCTCCAACCTCTCTGGACGGGCGCAGACCCTTGCGATGGACACGCGACAGAGTCAAAGGGTCGCAGTTTGGTCAACGTTGGAGCCTCGAGTCTTGTTTCTTGTATCCAACGGTACTTGCTACATTGAGTACTTTCAAACCTCCACCAAGGAGTCATGCCAAGATACCAACAACAACCTGCCCGTGGCTTCGGTATCCTATCGGCTTGGCTGCGCGGGATGCGAGTCCTTGCACAACTCCATGGTCCATGCCGCCATCCTTATCAGTCAGTGGTGTTGTCAGCCAAGACCAAGACCGCCCGTCGCGATAACTCCCCAATGGCACGTTCGTTTCCAAAAGGTTTTTCCCGGCTGCGCATTGTGTTTGGCGGGCAAGTACCGAGTTTTCACAATGTCGGCTTTCTTTGCACTCGGCCTTGCCGGGTTGCTTTGCATTCTTTCAAGCTTACGAATGAAGACGGGCGGGCCCGCAGAGCGGCCCATGTCTGAATGGAATCTGTGCTTGGAAAGGCTGCTGCGGGGAACCAACAACCCCGACGTTGGCCCCCCGCCGCCGCTATTCCACACTGAACATGGAAGAACGCGCCTCCTATTTCTCGTCTCTACTCCCGCCAGCTTGGCTTCGTTTGATTTCTCCAAGTTGGCATCGTCATGTGTCAGTCGAGTGTACCTCCCGGGAAAGTTGACCATGCATGTACTCCGTACGATGGAGCTAATCCAAATCAGGAAAGGCACTTTTTTTTTTTTTTCAGCCACACGGCTGCTGCTCTGCGCCTTCCAACAACCACCGCCCACAACTTTACGGTAGCTGCTTCAATTTTTACTAAAGCTACAATTGATGCATCCTTCCAAATTCAGACTCGTCGTAAATGCATGAATCAGAGCAGCATAATCAACTCTCAGTATACGCGTGCTTAGGTTCCCTACTTCCCGTTGACAGCGCTCTCAACTGAGACGACGGCACGGGTCACACCGTATTCACAAGCATTTACCGAGTTGGCGCGTCTGCAATATCAACTCGAATTCTCGGTATTGACTGACGAAGGGTACTAGAGAAACCCAAAAGCACAACGTATGAATTGTAGCAATTCCAGCGACACAACAATTCCAGTCCCTCCTATTTCTAGACCGGGGAGCGCCCTCTGCCGCGACGGGAATCCATGCAACCGAACGTTTGTTTATTTCTTGTCGGGAGGAGGGGGGCCACCAGTGGTCGGGAGGCCCATGAAAATCTTGAAGTAATCCTACAACGAAATACTATGATTAGTGACGACGAGGCAAAAAAAGAGAAGAAGAAGAGGAACAAGAGAGAGGGAGACAGCAGGGAAAGAGAAACAGATTTCGTGGCATGGACTGAAAGCTTACATAAATCATCCACTGGAGACCAGTCAGAGTGCCAATCATGACGATACGGACGGGGAGACCGTTCCAGAGTCCCCTGAATCCAATTTCCCCGTATATGCGGTTCATGACGGTCCCAAATCCCTCGCCAGGTTTTCGATAGGCATTCAGTTTGCTGACCATGACATCGGCCGGGTGGGAGACAACGGCACATAGGATGCCAGCGAGGTATCCGCCAGTAAAGGAAACACCAGTTTGAGCAGCCTTGCCGTAGTCGCTCTTCTGTCCGGGAAGACGGTCGTAAATCTTTTCAACAATGGTCTCAAACGAAGCAAACTTCATCATGGTGTAGGGGATCTGACGTCCCCACAACGGGTACAGTCCCTTGTACAGGCCGGCGCGTCCTTCCTCGGCGACAATGGTGTTGATGCCGTGCAGCGTACCGGTATAAGGGTTTGGAATGGTGCCCTGCATGCGCACCTTGACGGCCTCAAAGGGACAAAGAGCAATGTCGGCCAGGAACTCGGCGGAAGCAGAGGCGGCGAGATAGAGGCCGGTCTTGTACCTGTAGGCGGCTTCTGGGCCAGCAATGTCGCCGTACGTCTTCTTGAAGTACTCATACCAGCCGTACTTGAAGGATCCCTGGGCACTGTACCCAAACAGGGTAGGGCTCCAGCCAGTCATGATGCCGCGGAGCCCTTGGGCGCGGTAGATGTTGCCCCATGCCTGGAAGTTACCGGTGTAGAGCTTCGAGTCGACTTGACGACGGGTCTTGACGAGGTCGAGGGGCGTCACGGCGGTGTGGGTGAGGCCCTGGAGAAGCAAACGTTGCCGTGAGCAAAAAAGAGCACACCACACGGACGGGCGCGAATACTGGCCAGGGGCAGCCGGGGCACGAGACTCACACACGCCATGAGACCGCCAACGGTGCAAGCAGCGTAGTACCTGCCCGAGTACAGCTCAATCTTGCCGGCCTTGGCCTGCGCGGCGGAGCTGGCCTTTTCGAATTCTCTTGTTGCCTCCGCGCCAAGCTTGTGCGCCTTTTCCCTTGCATCTTCGACCACGGAATACACGGTGAAAAGCTCGCGTCGAGCCTGGTTGGGTGTCGGCGTGGACGCGGTGGTTCCCAACGGGGTGACCATGGACCTCTTGAGCGCTTCAGGCGGTGGGAAGAGGTGTGACATTGTGACGTTGGGCCTTGCTCTCCCAAGGATCGGACGATGGTCGATTCAAGGATGCGTCTGCAAGTGCGTGACAGAGGTTAGAGCTGGATGTGTTGACATGCAATGGCGGCCTCGTCTCAGTCGACAGCAGCACCGAGGCGTCGTGATCGACGTGGCACTTGGCATATGACGACAGCGGCGGCCATGACTTTGTGAAGGGGGGCTTCGACGCGAGGCTATCCGCGGATTCCGAACATCTCTCGGGCTATGAACAGGTCGAGGCGACTCACTGAATAGGTATAAGCGGGATCCAGGTCCCGACAGTCCCGGAGGAGGAGAGCCGAGGAAGCGCTACGGGCTGGGTGAGTGATTGCCGCGACGATGTTTGAAGCAGGAGAGCCAGAAACGAGTCGATGCAGCGAGTGAAGTGAGACGTTGGAGGTTCGAGACGTGACTGGCCGTGGCTGCCATGGTGACATCACCTTGCCGTCCAATGCGAGACAGGAACTGCCTGCCCCTCACTCGGCCGTGAGGCTTGCGGGGAGGATTGGATACGACTTTTGTCTTATTTTAACTACCTTGTTTCTTTTCCGTCGCAAGTTCCTTTCCATGCGGCCTGCCTTTTTGCTTCACAAGCCGACTGCCGATGTTTGCCTTTATGCTTGCCATGCTCGTCTCGGTACGATGCATCCTCGTTGGGTTGATTGTGGGAGGGAGGTCCGGAGCAAGTACGGAGTACCTCCTCGAGGTACTACTTACCTACCTACCTTACCTACCTACCTAGGTACGGAGTACCTCCTCGAGGTACTACGTACCTACCTACCTAGGTACCTACCTACCTAGGTACCTACCTAGGTACTACTACTAGTACCTTAAGTAGGTTACTTAAGTACCCACATAAGGTAGGCACGTGCTCCGTACCCTCGCCGTCGAGAAGCTCTCAACGCGGGGCCGCGCCCCACATGCGGCCTCGAGCCCAGCTCACAAAGTCACGACTCCAAAACTCGACCTGTCCCGAGTCCAGACCAACCAGCCAGCCGCGCCCAACCGTCTCGTCCGCGCTGCAACAAATCATCCACTCCAAAGTGGTCGCGTCCGCCCGCCCAGCCCGCACCAGCTTCCCCCGAAGCAATGGCTGCGCAGACCGCGACCGTCCCCGTCGTCGACGGCCCGTCCGACAAATCCTTCCAGTCCAAATGGTCCTCTCGGTATCGCGGGGTACGTGCCCACGGCCATCCATCTCTTGCTCCCCGCCCCTTCTCCCTCCCAAGCCAGCCGCAGACGCGTCAAGTCTCGCTCACGCCCGTCGCCAGGCCACCGTCCAGGACCTCGAGCCCCCCGCCGCCCTGTCCCTGAACCCCTCGGACGCCATCTCCCTCGCTCTCCTGTCCGCCTTTGAGCGCGAGTACACCCACCTCACCGTCGTCGACTCCCAGACCCGCGCCCTCCTCGGATACATCTCCATCCCGCACCTCCAGACCCTGCTGGACAGCGGCAAGGTCAAGCCCCAGGACCCCGTCTCCTCCGCCATGACGCACTTCCAGCGCCGGAACCGACGGTACAAGGTCATCACCCTCGAGACGCCCCTCGAGCAGCTCGAGGAGTTCTTCCGCGGCGGCCAGACCGACGGCCCGTGGAGGGAGGAGTTCGCCGTCATCACCGACGAGAACAGGAGATTTGTCCTGGGCGTCGCCACCGCACAGGACCTGGAGGAGTTTGTCAGGAGAAGACCTGCCTGAGCGAGACAAGAGAAAGACACACCGCGGGACCACGTGACAATCTACATCATCTGTTCCTGATCAGATGGGGGGCCAGGGGGGGGAGGGGCGGAACGGTAACAAGGAGCGAACTGTACTCCCTACGAGGAATCATCATTTCAGCCCGCTTTCTCGACGTTTTGCCGAAAGAGAAGCCTTGCTTCCCACGGGTTCACGACCCCATGTTCGCCTCGCCTCGCCCCGACATGCCATGTGCATATCACATCCCCAGCCCGAATGGATATAATTGCGTGTCCTTGTCCTCGCTCGCAGTCAGTCCAACGAGATGCATTTGCCCGTCGCCCAACCACGCCAATATGCCATCGTGTGTCATGATCCATGGTGCCCCGGCTGGCTGTTGTTCGCATCTATCTGGACGCTTGGCGTGCTATCCGGCTCCTTGTTCCACCATGTTTCGTAGGCGTATCGAGAACACTGGTTTGACAACTCTCAACTATTGGTCAGTCCTATGTTCAAGTCAATCTCTAGTGTTTATCAACATAGCTTTGCCATCAAAAGTCGCCATGTGCCGTCCTTCGCAAGCGCCCGTCGGTCGTTCCGTCATTCGGCAAGATCGTGACGTAACCCCCCAACATGCTGTGTTTATCTACTACTTTATCCATGTGCACAAGGTGTCGCCAACACGTCATTCATGTCTCTCAATGTGCTCCTGTGCGGTAGTCCAAAAGCCCCAATTCGGCCCAGATACCTTGTTGCTCCTCTCTTGTCAACTAACGACCTTCTTGGACAATTCTACTTGATAGCATCATGTATTCTTCGTCACAGCTGCTCGGCCATTCTCCTAGCCACAAAGACCAAAACGCCACCTCCATGGCCACCAAACATGGCACCAACCATCCAAGCCCACCTCCCAAAGGAAACCGAAATGTGCTCCGTGGCGCTCACAAAAAATAGAAATATTCAAAATTTCATACCCAGTTTTCAAGATCCAGGTTTCCCCCGGTATATTGATGTAAATCCCGTCGAGACCCCGCGAACAAAAACCGCACAATCGCAAATCAACAACCCCTGCCGGGTGTGAGTTGCTCCAGTACACACAGCCGTTAGCATCAAGAAAGAGGGAGAACCGTCATGGACAAATCCAACGGCTCCAAGTGCATCCCGCTCAAAAAGAAGCCGGGAAATGGACCAGGATCAGTCCCGCTGTCTAGTAATCCACCTCTTCGGCGCTGATTACAGCCTGTTGTGGCTTGCCGCCTGAGGCATCATTCTCAGATGGCAAGTCCCCGAAAGTCTGTTTGTATCGCGCCAGTTCTTGTTTTTGCTTCGCAAAGAAATCGAGTATCGTCGACATGGGGCCACGAAGGTCATTGAGTTCTTTGATGATCGGTTGCCCGAGAGCCAGATGTCGCATTGAAAGGGTCGAGACACATGTCTGCCACACACACGCGCGCGCACATGTTAGCTTAGTGCCAAACAAACATGTAGCAAGCGGGCCGGCGGCACAACTTACCTCTATTCTGCTCACTTGGTGTTCCATAAAGTTGAGCAAGAACCTTTCCGTCACCTCTCCACACCTCGATCTCATGCGTTCCAAGAGCTCAGTCTCTGGTGGTTGCAGGCCAGATCCCCTTACTTCTTCGAGCGTGCTGCACAGCATCTCCAAACGAAGGCTAACTCTCCAGAGTGCCCAAATGCTTTCTGGGTCGAAAGACAACTCACTACCGGGGGCAAGAATGACAGGCCTTTCAAGACAATCATCCCGTCGCTCATGCTGCTGGTGCTGATCTATTCGTCCAGCCAAGGCGTGGGGATACAAAGAGTACACAACTTCAGGATTTTCCAGTCCCTTGAGCTTCTTCTCTCCCATCTCCTTAACTTCGAACCCCTGGGAGGTAAGAGATCTCAGGTCCTTTCGGATCGTGGCCGCAAACGACTCATCTTCGAATGCCTCGTCAGATCCGGCGGAGCTATTACGCTCGCTGTCTTGGTAATTTTCCAGGCATCGCTGAATCTCCGAGATGAAATCAGAGGAAACAGTAATTTGACCGCCGTCTGCCACCGTCGAAATTCTGGATGCCTTGTTGACCATGGGGCCAAAGTAATCCATGCGGCGCGTCACAGGATCCGTCTCGCTGACGCAATCTCCATAATGGATACCCATTCTCACAGACAACCCTTTGAAAATCAAGGCGCCCTCTTTATCATATATGGGCTGGCACGACATGGAATTCAAAACTTCGGACGGCCAGCTGACATCCAGCAGTTCCATCTGGACTGCAAAGCACCAGAGAAGCGCAGAAGTCGCTGTGGGAAACGAGACCATGAAGGCATCGCCTTCGGTCTTGACTTCGTACCCTCCAATTCTGCGTAATTGACGCCGCATAACCTCATTGTGCAGCTTGATGGCAGACCTCATCGCGCTCGAGTACATCTCCCAGAGTGTCGTCGAGTTCTTGATGTCGGTGAATACAATGGACACATTGCCAGTTGGTGCAGGAATCTCGGCTTCGAGTCTGTTGAGTGACGAGTCCAGCACATCTCCCTTTGCTTTGCGTATTCGTCTGGTAGAGAATACTTGGGTATCGTCCGGTATCCCTGAAGGATACAGAGACATGCTAGTGCCGCGATGCAAGCGAGATCGCTCAACTCTCCTCTTGAGGTCAGCAACGCCAATCATCATGACCATAATCTTCCCAGACGCGCCGTATGCCATGGCCAGATCACGCAACTTTTGGGCTGCTCTCATGAGGTCCTGCCGCTCGGATCGGGCAATATCTGTAATAAGACCTGGAGCAAGATACTCCCAAAGCTCACGGGTGGCCAGCAAGATAATTTCATCGTGCTCCTTGATCGTCATTTGGGTAACGTGGGGCGCCGCCTGCACTGCGGGCATCAGATCGACATAGCCGAAAGCCCGGGAAACTTGAAGCAAGTCGTTCAATCGGCCGTTGCGGGACACCCAACCCCCGGCTTCCCTGATCCTCGAGCGTTCCGATGGCTCCGCCGGATCATGCTTTCTTGTGAGAATCTCATGCTTGCCGTCTGTTTTGATGACCATGGCTTGGACGTCACCGACGTTGGCGACATAGAGCTCCGTGGCTTGCAGGTACAGGACTGTAGCTACGCCGCCGGAGTTCAAGTCCTCCTTACTGAGTACGACCGGTTGCGCTGAGCCCCTATGAGTCGCCTTGGATCTTTCCTCAGAGTGTTGGACGGCAACCGTGACCAGGTCTTTGTTCAAGCCCAAAAACGCCCTTCGCAATGCGTCGGTTGGAGTGTCATCTGGTTTGTTCTTTATAGCTTTCAGTTCCGTGGCGAATATATGGCCAAAGTTCTCATGCAGATACTTTGCTATCTTGGAGCCACCGCTTGACAAGGCTTGGCCATCGAATAGACCCAGCAGCATCTCCGTTTCGGACGAGTTGAACCGAGGCACCACAAGATCTACCGTTGACAAGTGCTCGTTCTTGCCCAGCGTGTCCGCCATACCGTAGGGGAGGTGACCGGCCAGTGAGCCAGATGTCCGAACTCGTCTGTCCTCGCTCTGGTCGGGGATGCTGGGCTGCGTCAAGGTGACGTCCATGAGACCTAGGATTCTCAGGTTCAGCAACCGGCTAAAGTCGGTGTACTGCTCCCGGTTCACTGCGCCAGGTCCATCTGGCCCACCCCATGCCGTCTGCTTGATTTCCAGTCGCTTGTTGCCGGAAAGGTTAAGGTAGCGCAGATTGGGGTTCAGGTTCCAGTTCCAATCGTAGGGCACATTTGAAATGTTGTACTTCAGGTAGTTATTGCCGCAGTCCAGGACGGCCAGCTTCTTGGCCCTCGAAATGTCCGCAGGCAAATTGGTGAATTTATTTCCGTTGATGTACAAGGTCTGCAAAAGACTCGACTCCTCCAGGTCGTCAGCGGGCAGCGAAGTCAGGCCGTTGCCAGACAGGTACAACTCCACAAGCTGGGGCCAGTTCTTGATCGATCTTTGAGGCATATCACTGATTTCATCATTATACGAGAGGTTAAGGACGCGCAGTTCGGAAAGCAGGATAATCTGGTCAAAAACATCGTCGTCCAGCCGGTTGTCAGCAATATACAAGTTTCGAAGTGATCCGGCAAAGGTATTAGTAAGCCTCGAAGAAAGTCCAGAATCCTTCCTAGTGGTAGTTGGCGGCGATGCAGTGGAGTTGGTAGCCTGGGAGGCTGCTCGAGAAACAACAGACGTCTTACGCCCACCCTTTCCATAGACGGACACCACGGAGCTCTTCCTGTCTGTCGTGGTCAAGACTGGTGAGGGGCCAACACTAAGAAGGGTGCTCGAGGCTTGGCTTGGGCGTCGGTCGTCAGCAAGGTCCTCGGAGCTGGGATTTGACGGTATTGGATTCAGGGTTAAAGGTTTGCCATTTTGCACGGGAGGAGGCCCCGTTGGTTCCTCGCCAGGAACTCGCGGCGGCCTCGATGCGGGTTTGGGGAATGTCTCGAGCACGTTTGACGATGCATTGAAGGTCTCCAGCTTGTTGGCCCACCAAATTTCCATGGGCAGTTTTGAAATGTTGTTTCCTCGTACGTCCAGGACTCGAAGTTCGGTAAGGCAGCCAATTTGAGGGGGCAGTTCACCCACAGAATTGTTAGCGATGCTGAAGTGCTCTAAGCGGCTTAGCGTTCCAATCTGCTGGGGCAAGGAGACAAAGTAGTTTCTGTCCAAAACTAGCGTCTCGAGATTTATCATGCTGGAGAATGCGGAATCGATACTGGCAAGTTGAGCGTGCGACAGGTTGAGGGTCTTCAGAGTAGGAACAGGCTCAATAATCTCAAACTTGGTAAGCGGGTTTGAGTTCAGCTTGAGTTGTCGAATAGTTTCAAACTTTCCGACAAAGGAGGATATGTGGTTGTGGGCAGCAGTCAGAATCTCCAGCTTGGGGAGTTCTGAAATGATGTCAATACTTGTAATAGAGTTATACTTGATGTCCAACTCTCGCAGACTCAGCAGCTGGCGAAAACCTTGAGGGACTTCTTCAGCCAATCTGTTATTGGTCATCAAGAGCTTTTCCAGGTTCTTCAAGTTGCCGAGCTCGTCCGGAAGGGTTGCAATGGCGTTGAAGCTAAGATCGAGATCAACCAGGCTGTGCAATTGACACAAGAATGGAGGAAACTTGTCGAGAAAGTTGGACGAGATATTCAAGCTGCGAAGGGCCTGGTAGGCCCCAAAGTATGGTGGGAGATGGGTCAGCCTATTGTTCGCTAGGTTCATCTTGAGCAACCCAGTCAGCGAATTCAATTCTGCATGCTCCAACTGTTCCAGCCTATTATTGGATACGTCCAAGAAAGTGAGCCTGCCAGCTCGTCCTAAGCTCAGCGGTAGCTTTCTCGCCTCGTTGTTATTATATTTGATATCTCGAAGTTGTTTGCAGGATTGGATAAAGTCTCGAGGAACATCAAGAGACAGGTTTCTAGACAAGTTTAATGAAATAATGTCGGCCGCCTTTTTGTACAGGGATATAGGAATAGTAACGAGATTGCGTCCTGAAAGATCGACATAGTTGAGCTTCTGCGAACGGGATATGCCCAAATCCATGGTCTTGGCATGAAAATCGCTTTCCCGGGCGGACAAGAACATGAAACGGCAGAGGTAGCCGTTGTCCTCTCGACCCAGCTCCTCGATTCGATCCTTCTCCTCATACCCAACCTGTTGGAGCAGTCGCTTTTGCATAAGCAAGGGTCGTTCGGCCGGTGCCAATACTCGAATGAGATCATGCTTCTTCATGATGATGTGATAGTTCTCCAGGCCGTCAACCACATAAGTCTTCTTAATAACCTGCGATATGACGTCGGTAACTGTAGCGTCGAGTACCATCGAATGCGTCGAAAACGTGCCATCAGATCGGAATATTCGGATAAAATATGAAGCCAACTTCTCGTCTGGCCGCGGTGGGCTACCGATCTCGTCCACTTCGGGCACGTCCTCGGAATTGTCTTCGGTGTTCCTGCGAACAGCCCAACTGTCTGGGGCATCCCATCGACCCTTTGGGCCTTCAATCGAGGATTCTCTCTGGTCACCGTCGATGCTATTGATAAAAGTCGAATCCATGGGCGTCAAGGGCGGCGGCCTTGTCAAGATGCCCTCCATATCATTCAGGTTGGTATCAAGGTGATATACATGGCCCGGGTCATTATAATCCGTGGGGCCGATGGCTTCGTCAGTATAATCACAAGCCCTTTGAGGTCGGGTCTTTTTGGAAAATGGGAATTTGTTGTTGAATGTGGCGGCACGGTGAGCCGCAATCCGAGGATCCAGCATGTCACCTGGTTCGGGAGTCCCCGGATAGTATCCAGGAAAGATATCGGGCCGTTGGATGTCTGCCTTTGAAGGTTTGGCCTGCAACGACTTGGTTGATTGGGGCAAATCTCGCAACTTGGATGCGGCGTCGTCCTTGTCCCTGTGGTGGCGTCGAAGGCGCCCCAGAATACCGCGCCGTCCATGTTGACCCGGTGAGGTTGAGCCGTCTGCATGAAGACCAGACCTTGAACCGGGTGGTCCGCTGTTGGCACTAGGTGTCGGACTGTGTGCTCTTGTTCGTTGGTTAAGCATACCGATCGACGGGCGGTCCCTTATTTGTTGTGCAGAGCTAAGCGAGTCCTCTCTACTAGCAGTCGGTCTCAACGTCCTAGGGTCATCATTACTTTTGTTCTGTCGGTGGTGGTGGCTGTGCAGATGATGGACAGGTCCAGATCGGGCGGACGACGAGGACTTGGGCGGATTCTGGCCGGCGGAGCTTTCGTAACGCTCCCGATCGGGCCCAGTCAGTATATCGCGAACAGGCGCTTCCCCGTAACGAGCAATGTCCTAACAAAAGAGTCCAAAGTATTAGCTAGCAGCCACGGTAGCTCAAGCAGGTGCCATGAACAAAACGAACACGGGCAAAACAATACAAAGCATTGAGATATCCAGTACAACAGAAAGGGGACGGTAACAGGCCAGATAAAAACCTTCTGGACACCGAGATCGCGCGGAAATACCAAAAAATAAAAAAATGGCATGGATTCATGACAATGAACAGGGGGGTGCGGGTGGAAGAACCGAGCGAGACGGCCGCTGGCAGTGACTTTTTTGGAGGAGATGAAGATCGGTCACCGGGGGCTGAGGCAGTAGACAGGACAGGCGAACAGGACAGGCGAAAACGAGGCGAAAAAAAGAAGGGCTCACCCACCGTATTATCCTGATAGAGGAAAGGAACGACTTCTGGATTTGGCACAGGAGTTCTTGGCCTCGAGGAAGGCGACTGTTCTCGGTCGGTCGCGTTGGAGTAGTTGCGATCGCGTTGGGTTGGACGGCCATGGCTATAAGATCGTGACCGTTGATCCTTGCCAGGGACTGAGATAGGAAGGCTACTCTCTGAGCTGTCATGGCCGGGAAACTCCTCGCCAAAAAAACCTTGAAGCTTCCGGAATCCACCGCGATTAACGCTGGTTTTCGAGCCCTGACTACTGGCGGTTGTAACAACGCTGGCGACTGAAGGTCGCCTGCCGTCCATGTTATCATAGAGTGCATCGGCATAGTCCTGGCTGATGGAACCAGAGCCAGTCCCCGGACGGCCTGTCGCTGACGGCAATCCGGGAGACAGCTGTGACGTAAGAGACAAGCTATCGCTGGAATCATTATAGAAGGTCGTGGTCAACCCCTTGGGAGAGGACCCGGCGGGCAAGCCTGAAGACGTCCATGGGGCAATTTGGGAGCTTGCCGCCAAGCTGCCCCCAGAGTGGCTGTGGAGCGGCTGCTGGGCTTGCGATGACGATGGTGATGATGAGTGCGGCGGATGTGAACGAGTCGGCTCGAGAACGGCAAGATCACGGCGGTAGTTGGTAAGGTCGCTCAATCGACGATCTTTGGGTGGGACACTGGGAGCAGAGTTTGACAACGGTGGTGACAGAGTGCCTCGAGTAGCTGTTGTAGATGTGGGAGATATTTGGGCGTCGTCCTTGGAGGTTCTAATGCAGGAGTTTGTCAGCCAAGCACAAGTGGGCCTTTTGATGTTTTACCAAGACGGGAATTGTGTTTGGAACTGGGGTCGATGGAGCTGCGATGTCCCAAGCGTAGTAATGAGTCTCGAGCTCTAAACAAACGATGGAAAGATACAGAGCCTCTCGGTCGGCTCCTCGGCCACAGCCAGATGCTGGACGCGCATCCAGGGCAACGGTGGAGGGGACTCGGAACGACCAACTGACCTCCGGCGATAACCACTACCATCTGTGGCGATGCGCATATTGGATCCCCGGCGAGCGCTCATGGAGCCTAGGGGAGGCGTCGAGGGCTTTACGGTTATGGAAGAGCGAGTACTGCTGTCGGTGCCGGCACTCGCGCTCGTAAACGAGCTGATGCGGGAGACGGCCTCATTGTCCGTCATTGTCGGCAGGCCGTGCTTGCGCAAGCGTCGGCCATATCCTTGGGAAGGTGTATCCAAGTCGAGGCGCATTCATGTCCTAGGCGACATTTGGGGCATGAACTGCGTTACGTTGGGTTGCGTTGCGTCGGTGTTGTGTTAAGGGTGTCGTCGTAGGGTTTGGCAGTGTGACCTCAGACGGCAGAGAGGACGGGCAAAGGATGGATGGGTCTGGTCGGATCGATTCGGTGGGCGATGGAAGAATCTTGGTTGTCGAAAACGGCGACAAGGCGTTGCGGCTGCCCAGACAGAGGAGGAGCGATGCGGTGAGGGAGTGACTGCGAGGATTGGGGATCGAGGACTGAGGATCGAGGGTCGAGGGTTGAGGGTTGCGGGTTCAGGATCGAGGGTTGGCTAGCAGCTTGGCCGCGAAAAAAGAGACGATCAAATGGACATGGAGAGAAGAGCTGGATGAAGATGCTAGAGTGCACCCAACCTGTCTCTCTGGTGGGCTGGAGGCGAACACTCGATGCTCACGCCGGCAGCAAGAAGTAAAGTGGTGAGGCTGCGGAGACGTGGGCGGCACTAAAAAGCCAACGACCAGGCGGGAGAGGCAGCAGCTCGACCAGACATGGCATGGACCAGTCAGTATCCGTGAATGATTGGAGCTCAGGCGCTGTCTGGTGGGATCACGGAGCACCCAAGCAGTGGCGCCAGGCGATATGGGGTCAATCGGTGGCCCCCATAGCTTCTTAAGTAGGTACGTACTCCGTACTTGCGTATGGATTTCCGAGGTAGGGATGCGGGCGACTGGTACGGCGCACAGAGTATGGGGTATGGCGTGCAGGGAACGGCGCACGACGGTTCCGTACGTGCTTGAGTCAAGTACACGGCACCAAGTCCATGGTGTGAGAGTACCTGCCTTGGTAGGTAGTGACTACCCTAAGTAGGTGCCTGGGTACTCCGTGCTCGTTACTTCACTTTCTCCAGTAAGTAAGTAAGCAACCTGCTTGGCTCGCCCAGACTGCTTGCTTAGTACCGTCGATGCAGCAGCTCAGACTTGTGTAACATTGATGGAATTGATGGAATGCTGCGTACCAAGGCTCTCTCTCGTTGGGGGCCGCCAAATCTCCTCGGTATCAGTTGATCATGTTTGAATCATTACCAGGACTACGACTTTGTTTCGGGCAGCGCATGGGCTGACTGATTGACTGGCTCACTGCCAGCACATGGAGCGAGCAGGCAGCAAGGGGAAGCAAGAATTGCGCCGGCACTAGGTTCAAACCCGCACCGAATTCTCAGAAGCAGTCGGTTAAGTTACATTTACCCAAGAAGCTGGAGAGGTCTGGTATCCTTTGCTCATCTAAATGCTAATACTACCACCTGCTCAAGGCCGAGATGTCGCATCCTCCATCACGTCTACATTATGTCGAGGTGTCTTGTTTCGCAATGAGCCTCGGAGCACTGGAAACCTTTTGGCAAAGCGCTGAAAGTCCGGAGTGTACTGCGACTTCTGGAGCACCCACCTCATGGGAATTGCTCGCGGCGAATACTGCACATGTCCGTCCATGCGTACCTAATGTATACGGAGTAGCCCACCATGTGCTCTGTGCTCCGTCTTCTCCGAGGCCATCACCATTGCTAGGGCTTCCAACTCTGCGGCAGCGCTTGTCAGCCCACGACGATCAAACACCGAGGACATTGACATTGTGTGCATTCGACAACACCCGCCCGTGTCTGAGTCGCTGTGAAACAAGTTGAGCACAGTCCACGGGTTAGGTTAACCTCGGCACCTAGGCGCTGAGCACTCTGTCTATGTGGTAAGATTTGTGCCGTCAAGAAGCGTAGTGACAATCCAAGCATATGGCACAGCCACGCCTCGGGCCAGGCGCGGACGGATGGGCCAATGCCGGGCCCCGGCGGTCGTGCAATGAAGCCTGGCATGCGTGCGGTATCTGTCAGTCAACGTCTATCCGCAGGATTTCTTTATGTCAGTCAGCCGCGGCTCCCTGGAGTTAGGGATTCTGTGCCCATGTTTTTTGCTTTTTCCGCGTCATCACCATGCATCTGTATCGGTCGTGCGCAGGGCCCTGAAGAATCATCAGTCGTACCGTACCGTACCGTAGTTTCCCACGACCAGCAGGCGCGCATGGCGGTAAGGCGGAACAAGAAAAGCCACTCCGAATTAGGTAAGGTCGAGTACGGGTGGGCCATTGGCCAAACGTCAACGGCCTCGCCAGCGCTGGCCTTTTGGTGCAGCTCTTTTTGCTGCTCTCGGGCCTGTCGTCGGGCCTTGTTCTTTTCGAGTCTCTCGAGTTCCTTTTTGATTCTGCATCGAGCTGCGTGTAAGCACACCGTCTCTGGCGCGACCCGAGGGCAGGTCGTCAATCCACATACCTAATGCCCGCAAGGCGGTCATGGTCGGCATTGCCCGTAGGCCGGGAGCTGTAGATGCTGTGGAGAGGTAGACGTAAGCAGGTGCTCGTAACTCCAACCCAACGTAGTCGGCAACAGCGCCTGGAGACGGCACTTGTCGTCTCTTGGGGCCGAGATGCGTGTGACCCAGGCACGCCCACTTGTGAAGCGCCCTGACACGTGACGGCAGCCGCTTCCAGACCCGGGGGGCCTCCCCGCGGGGCCTGCATCGCATCGTCTTGAGTACATACTCCTTAAGTTCCAAGTCTGCCTCGGTTCGCCGCTTCATATACTGCGAGATGACGACGGGATCGTGGACGACCTCGGTTCGCGTCTGCGTCGACCCGTCCTGCAGGCGGACCTCTCTCGTGATGCGGATGGCTTTCTTGACATGGCGACTAGCCGATGTGAAGCCACTAATTTGGCTGGTGCCGTCGTCGAATTGCGCCGGCGTCGCGGCGGCGTGAACGTTGAATCGATCATCCTCGTCTTCCGTGACTGCCACGTCCTTGTCGTCGTGCTCCCGGGCGTCGGACAGCGTTGCCTTTTGCTTCTCCCAAATCTCCTTGATGCCCTCCTCGTACATTGCTTGTTGCTTCTTGACGTTATAGGCGTGGCCGCCGTTAGCGCGCTTCTCACGCTCCATGGCGTCGGCCGACGTGGCCAACGGGCCCTGAACAGCCTCAATGTACCCTCCCTTCATGGACGTTCGGATGAAACTGAAGCCGAGGCCGTGTCCAGTCGGGTCACCCTCGCCGTGCAGCTGGAGCATGGCCTTTTGCGCACAGGCGTCGATGAAGGCCTTTGTAGTTTTCCAAGGTGCCATCTTGTCGGCAAGTGTCTCTTCCTGCTTTTCGCCAGGCTTCTTGGCGCCCTTGGGCGCCTTGCTTCCGCCCTCATCCTCGTCGTCTTCTTCAGCATCCATGTCCATGACGTCATCGTCAATGTTGGCATTTCGGGGATCGTAGCCGGCGTCCTCGAGCTCCTTGATTCCCAGCTGCATGGCATCCAGAAGACTGACCTCCTCAGGCTTGATCATGGCGCGAATCGCATTTTCGTCGGGCAAGATCTCGCTTGGCTTCAGGCGCCACATGCCTTTTTCGCCACTCTCCCTGTCGTACTGTAGAAATTTGGGACGAGAAGGGTGTACATTATAGGCGAAGAGGTTAATAGCGTTATTAGGTTGAAAATTGGCCCGCCTTGGTGTCCGGCCCGCCTTGCTGTCGAGCACCACCTTTGGTGGTGAGGGCTTTTGCTAGCCGAACCACATAAAGTGGGGCGGGCACGATTAGTCAAATGGGCCTACCTACTCCGTACTCAATGGCAAAATGGGTCTCGTGATGCGCAGCCGCGGCCAGGCCCCGCTTCTCGGACCGCAACAATTGCCCCATACTCCCGTGCCCCTGCAAGTAATCCGTACGGCCGCACCGTTGGCGCCAAGCAGCGTACTGTATGTGCTCCGTATCGTTCTTGCTCAAGTAAGTACCTAGGTAGGTACGTACCTGCTCCGTTCTCCATACCCCGGAACTCGAGTGATGCACTTTCTGCTCCTCACATTTGAACTGCAATAGGCGCGCGCCAATGGCGGCCGTAGCCATAGCACCGACAATTATTGCTCTCCGCGCCCCAGTGCAAGTGTCCCGTGCCCTCGGTCTCGGCTTGGGGGGGTGAAATTGCAAAATACCGCTAGCAGCGCTGATCCAGGCATATAGCGACGGATGTATGTATGTACGTACTACTCCGTATGTGCATATATGGTATGTTACCCCCGTACAATGCATAAACCACATCTCAAGGTACATATTCCAAATATCTCTCGGTTTTTTTCACGTGGTGCGTGACTGCACCTACCACCACACGCAAGATCCATGGCAGCTACCCAGGTACTCTTGGCGTTGACCACAAATGTCTCTCTTGTTGTCTCCCGAGTTGGCCGATGTCTTAATAGCTATACGTATTATCACTACGGGGTACTGCTGCTCCGTACGGAGTAGTCGCGCCGAGTGCTCCAAACACCACCACGTCCCCAATCCCCAAACTCGCGAGCAGCGGCCACACTCCAGCGCCAGCAAGTCGACCCTTTCTGCGCTGTCTCGCCTTGATTCAAGCTTGTTACGAACAGCGTTTTGGAGCGACGCCGGCAACCGGGTACTACATGCCGTGAAGTGGCATCGGGCTCCCTTTCATCTACGGGTCGTGGAACACGGAGTATCACAACGCAAGGCGCGCACTACAACCGCATGGACTAATGCCATCATACCGCAGCATCGTAGTGTGGACTTGACCACAGTCAGATATGCCAAGTTGGGACCTGAGTACTCCGTATCATGTTCTGAGAGACGGTGCGCATTTCATCCTGTTCGCCAACGAGTCCTCGCTTTGTTCACCATTGCCAGCTACTCGTAGTCGTGGACCGTGGTGAGTTGTCCCAATCGGAGTGGGCTTCGAGCATCAAGCTGGGTGATGCATTTGCCTGAGACATTCCACGTATGACAGTCACGCGGAGAGTGATGGGAATGGGATGCTTTCTTTTTTTGTTCTCTCTCTTTTTTTCCTCTTTTTTTTTTTTTGGTCTTTTTGGTCTTTCCCAACTTGATACTCCGTAATACCACAGAGGATACGGACTTGGAATAAAATATGCTGGTTGTGATGCTCAACACTGAGATGGATGAGCGAGTACACCCACTCCCTCAATCATAAGGCAAACACCCCTCAACTCCAAGACGTAAAGAAGACACGACCTTGCCCCGCATGTCGGTCCAGCATTCGACAAGTCCATGCTCCGGGTATCGTATATATACTCCTCGCTAGACTGACGGCGCCCATTGCAACGGGGAAGAAGAGGGAAAACGCCATGTACACTTGACTGCGTGTCGCGAATCTCTCTCTCCTTGGAAGAAACTACGGGCAGTCAATCCGAACAGCAGCCGGCGCGGTGGAAAGAACAAGGTCTCCCCACCGTCGTTTCAAGATTCCGCCAGCTCAGGAGTCGGTGCCGTCAAGGGAATCATATCGCGCCTTGGTCATCTCAAGCACCCCGGCGTGGACATTGTCTGGCTGTCGCCAATTTCAAGAGTCCTCAGCATGACATGGTAAGCTTTGCCACATCTGCACAGCGGCCGCAGCTCGTCGACGCACGACAAGGTGGATGAAGTGGTTTATTTTACAAAACGCAAATCAAGCGCCGTCTATGCAGTACATACAGGTCCTGGCGTGTGCACCATAGTCGCCATCCTCAGTCGTATATCAAAATCATGTCTCTTCGTGAATCATTTCGCCCAAAGCCTTGCTCTCCTCCAGAATGACCCTCGCCTTTTCTTCAGCAACCTCCATATCTTCCATGATCAAGCGCACTGCCAACTCGGCCACGAGTACGGTCTGAATGAAGGCTGCGGCTCCACGGCCAGCAATGACTCTGTCATCCACTGCCTTCTCCTTCAGCAACTCGCTAAATTCGTGAACTAGGTAGTCGCACATCAGGTTGAACCCGCGCGGTCCGTAGTACCCTGGATTCAGGTTGTCTTCCTTCTTCAAGGATCTCGCTTTTCCAGATGAAATGTTCTTTTCATGAATGGAGCGGAAGTGCGACGCTCCGCCGCTTATGACGCCGAGCAACGTTCCATGGTATTTTCTGAATCGGTCTTCCAGCCCCTCCCATTCAACCTTTGGATAACTCTTCTGCTGCCAGAGTTCCTGAGCAGTCTGTCTTTTGTGTTTCTGGCAAAATTTGCTTTGTAGCCGCACGTCCAACCGCTTACCCTTGGCAAAATCGTCAAGTAACTTCTCATCAACAGGCTCTCCGCACCAAGGGCACACGGTTGCTTCTTTCATGATTCTTTCCACATTCTTGATTTCGTCGTCCATACTCAGTTTCCCTGTCTTTCCATCTTGATTCTCCATGTCTGAAGGGTCGTCTGTCGATGGACCTTCTGTTCTGCCTTCCCTCGGCGATCCAAGCCGTAGGTCTGATATTGACGCGGGCATTTTGAAAACCGCACGAGGCGGCGACGGAGACCTTGGTATTGCTCTCAACTTCGATTTCTTCTGCCACCTGCTACCGGTAGACCCTTGCGACGAATCAATTGAGCTCGGTAGGTTGAGTGTAGTTTTGCTAGGAGGCGATGGAGGTATGGAGCCGGGGGGTAGGCGAAGTCTGTCCGTCCTTGGCTTTTCTGGGCTCTGCAACGACGCCGGCACCCGTAACTTGGCCGACGGTCTCTTTTTGCCTGCGCCAGGAGGGGTAATTGACCGAGAAATCGCTCGGGATTCTGTTGAGCTTTTCGTAACCGGCTGTCCTTTTGAGCTCTGCTTTCCCGTCTTATATGTGGCTTTAGATTTCCTGATTTTTGTAAACCCCAGTTCGTCTTTTAGGTGCTCCCCGGGGTTGGTCGGCAGTGTGCTCCTGGGTTCTTTGCGTTGCGTGCGTTGAAGCGCTGCACCCGTCTTGCGTCTTTTGCTGTCTAGATCTTCCGAATCCTCTGCCGGTTCGACGGGTGAATCCCTTCTCTTACTTCGGATTTTTCGCGTTATGCCGAAGCTGGTGCTTTTGATGTTAGCACGTGCTGCTCTATCATCTCCTTCTCCGGAACTATCCGAGCTGTCAACAAGGGAGGACAAAGTCTTCGTTTTTCGTGCTCTGCCGGTTGGACTGCCTTTTGGGGCCGATTTCCTTTGTGTCATTACGTTCGTAGGACTGTCAGTGCTGAGAGTAGTATCTTCGTCCTCGTCACCGCTGGAAACTGGAGGATCGTCGACATTCTTAGCTGCCTTGTGTCTTGGTACAGAATTGATGACAGACAGAAGCTGGCTGGGCGCCTGGTTCTTGCTCAGCCCAACTCTTCTCACGGGCGCTTTGTACCCCCTTCCATTGTTCAGAACCCCCATTGTGCTTGCTGGAAGCCAGAGTCCGAGAAATCGAGAGCTTACTGGCCTGTCAGTGGCACAGGGGTATAGAATGCCTCGGGTCGATTCTATTCAGCACCTCATTTCAGCATGCTGGCCGTCTTTTAGGCAACGATGGTTGTCTAGGGATTCCAAGTTGGAGTAGGCAAGTAAGCTGAATGCGAGCTGACCGGCGTAATGCTGGATTTAGGTCGTTCGGTATGGTTGTCGTTGGTCGGAAATCAAGGGTTCGGCTTGAAGACGATGCTGCATTCCAAACAAGGTTCACAACTGCTTTGAAATTAAGTGGGGAGGCGCGAAGTGCCACCAGTTGACACGGCCGGGCAGGGGCAGGGTCAACTGGTGCACAGGTGGGCGGGCCATTGGTGGCTGAACCTTGGACCTTGGACTTCCTCTGTCCGCCTCACCGACCCAGACTGACAGACGATAAATAAACAGGTTGCCAGAAGCCTTCTCGTAGGCACATATGGACCTAGGCAGTTAGTTGACACTGGCCTAGAGTTTTCCAGCTCTGCAGAACCGTTCGAAAAGCTTTCCGCTCTGTGCGAAGACGACCCTGCCACGCATCGGATCAGCCGAATCTCCCGTCGCCCTCCCAGACGATGGCGACACTCAATCGCAAATACGCGGCTCTGCCTGATCTGGTAAGCTGCCCCGAAACTTACCAGCAATTCGAAATTTCACGACGCTGATAGAACGGTAGGATTCGGCCCCAGACATTTACGAAACACCCGAATTGACTGACGACAACTCCACCGTGCCTGTATGTGCCCCCTATTTTTCATGCCCGTGTTCCGGTCCTCACCCTTGTACAGACCACAACAAATAGGGCACAGTCCGATGACGAATTCTACGACGTTGACGAGGATGAAGACGGCCACGGCATCTCAAGAACAAGATTGCGCATCAACGAAGCTCGCTCGCGTTTCTTGCCCGCCAACGTCGATGCGAACGGGGTTGATTTTTCAGATCGCGTGGATGGAAAACGAAAGTCATACAAGGCATCCAGTCGCCGTCAGCGCATACTAGAAGATGGCACCTGTGAACTTGGCGACCTGTCCGACGATGACGACGACGAGAGCCTAGAAAGAAGGATCGCACGGCTAAAAAGGGAAGTCGAGGAGGCAAAGGAGGAATATGCGAGGCGAAGAGCCGCCGCCACAACAACAGGCGCAGAAGCTAGAGATACGGGCCCCTCAGACGGGAGATTGGACACTTTGAGTCAAGTCCTCGACGACATGGCCCAACCTCCCAATGCCGAGACCTCCCGTGGCATGGCAAGGGCATACTTTCCTCCGTCAAGCAGCAAGCCTGAAGACGTCCCAGCAGGCAATGGTCCTACATATACGGTCACCTACGCGCCAGCTTACGAACAGAGCCATGCTCTTGCCAAGGCTGCTGATTTTGACCGAAGGCTACTCATGCTGGAAAAAGCTCTGGGAATTAGCGCTTCATCATTGTCCGAAGCCAGTGCAAATGGACTGCCAAGAGCTATATTGCCCACCCTGGACAATATGGAAAAGCAAATTTCGACTCTGGCCCAGGCCTCGACCTCGAACCTGGATGCCATTACCCGGCGAGTGCGAACATTGGCATCGGAGCAAGACAAGCTCAACGACTCCCGGGAAAAGGCCAAGGCACTCAGGGAAGAACTCGGCAAGCAAGGTCAATCTTCGGCCGACGAATCGGAGCAAGAGTCCAAGATCAATGCATTGTATGGAATTCTGCCCACAATTGAGAAGCTCACGCCTATGCTGCCTCCGTTGCTGGACCGTCTGCGATCGCTTCGTGCGATCCATGCTGATGCTGCAACCGCGAGCCAGACCCTAGAGCGCATCGGGACACAGCAAGCGGAGATGACGGGGGAGTTGAGGCAGTGGAAGGAAGGCCTCGAGAAGATGGAAAAAGCCATGGCAAAGGGAGACGTTACAGTCAGGAGTAACATGAAGATCATGGAGGGCTGGGTACAAGACCTGGAAGAACGAATGGCCAAGCTATCCTAATTTGTTCTTTTAGCTCCATCTTGCACCATGATACCCAATAGCAACACACAAAAAGTTCGCGCAACTGCTCTGTTCGTGCTCGCAGTCGACTCCACTTACTCTTCTCAGCGGGCGGTGTAGCCAGCTGCCAGCCAGCATTGTCACGTGGCGGGTCTTTTCGAGCCTGCTTATTTTTCTTTTCTCTTCCGCTTCAACCTCCACTTCCATCGACCTTTGCCATTCCTTGCAAACAAATTGGCTAGAACAAAAACCTGGCACTCGTACATTATTACAGGAGTATGTTGTAACTATTGGTAAGTAGTGGCTACTTTCTATTTAAACTTGTTCTCACGCGATATCTGGAATGATGCTCCAATAGCATGTATTACCTGAATACTCCTTGATGTACTTTTTATCACCAAGATCTCTGACTCCAGTCTCACCTTTCTCCTTCACACGTGACAAAAGTTTGGAACGAGCCGCTTGCTAACGCCGTGTTGCATTCAAGAAAGTACATACTCCACTCCCACAAACAGTGATGGCTTCCATACCAAGTGCCACCCCGTGCCATTTTCGGGTGCTTTACTTTGCTTCTGCCAGTTCATTTACGGGAAAAGACCACGAGGCTTGGCCGGCACCCTTACCGCTGAGCAAACTCTTTGCCGAGCTCGAGGCAAAGTATCCCGGTATCCAGACCAAGATCCTGGACTCTTGCTTGGTTACAGTCAATCTCGACTACGTAGACGTCCCCGGTGCTGGCGATACGAATGGGCCCGTGATTCAGGAGTCTGATGAGGTCGCCATTATACCTCCGGTCAGCTCTGGGTGATGGGAGAATTCGTTGATAGACATGAAACCTATCTATGCCTTGTGTTATTCGATTCGCGTCCACGGCGTTGGTCAGTGGTTCTGGAGCCCTTGCCTCGGCCGAAATAGGAGATGATGACTCCCACAGGGCTATGCCTGGGCAGCTTCTGCCTGGCTGCCCCTCTGTCTGCAAAGCAAAGGATCGCGCTCCTGTGGTAAATCTTCGGTCCACCAATGCGTACTCATGTACCGCCCCCAATACTGCTGCCAGTTGGGGTGTTTGTTGGAGTATTGCCGGACTCGCCGGATTAATACCATGACGATGAGTACAATGACGACGAGGATCAAAGCGGCAACAACGGAAAAAACAGCGGTCAAGCTCGTTGTTGTCGACACATTGCACCCGAAGGGACGAGTGCGCACCTCCCATCGCTCTGCTGGGTTGGGGCAGATTCGCTCATTATACACGGGTGCCAAGAGCGGGACTCTGTACGAATTGGGGATGCATGACCACGTCTTCATTCACGATTTGAGCCTCTGGTCCTGAGTGGTACTGACGAGGGAGGTGATTCGGACACTCACGTATGGACACCAGCCGCATTGAAATGAATCCAAACAACCCCCGCACGTTTTGTGTGCCCAGCAGCGCAGCAGATGATCTCTGCTACTCTCTGCACTGCTGAAGTTGTTGCGGAAGGCATCGACAGGATATGATTGAAACGGGGATGTCATTGCCAAGGTCGGCAGAGATGAGACGTGTTTACCGGCAACTTTTAATGTCGCTTACTCAGGCTAAGCTGGCGGATTCGCATCGAGCTGTGACTGATGCATGGACGGAGTAGTTGAGGCGGAAAGTGTGGAAATGCTGCGTCCGCTTCGGTGGTGTTGCCGACACAACGCGGCTGTGCGGGGAAAGCAAAAAGCAAGACCGCATCGGTCGACCGTGGATCTGGTCAGCATGTTGAGCTGTACGGGATGGGCAAGGACCAGTGGAAAATGTTCAGCGGCATAGACGAGGAATTGCCACCGCATCAACTTGTGGGCTGACACGATGACACGTGAATATCTGCAGTGGGAGCTTTTGCGAGGATACCGTGTACAGTTGATGCTGGAGCGCGAGCCAAATGATCCAGAATGTTTGCCTACCCCGGAGACAACGGCGACGACCATATTAGTCCAACAGCCAAAGCCGCATTGGTGCGCGGGAATCGTCAACATATAGACGCAGTGTAAGCCCTCCCTTTCCTGACGTAATGCCGATTATCAGTAGAATGACAGGGCGAGGGTTGGGCACACGACGGCAACAGTCTCATGTAACGTATGAAGCATCCAACTGTGGGTACGAACACAACAAACCCAATCACGGACATGGCAGTCGTATATGAAACAATCTGCACGTCATCCATCACGGCGTTCGGTGAGATGGCCGAGTTGGTTATGGCGTCAGGTTAAGGTCACCTTGACAACTGTTTCCTGATGGAGCAATCCTCCTGGGTTCGAGTCCCAGTCTCATCAATCTTTTTTTTCTGCCGACCCGCTTGAAACGCGGAGGTTTATTTTTTCCTCGCCCAATCAAAACCAAGTGGCATCTCTTGGTGTATCGTGTAGTAGCATTACACATTACACAGAAGCTGCTGCCCCCGAGACACCAAGGTCTCAAGGACCGACCGGTCCGTCACGACGCGACACGCACGCCTCCAGATCACCGCCGCCGCACGCACTCGAATGCAGGCACGAGCCGCCGAGTAGCATCGACGGCCCAGGGCAGCGCGGGCCGACGCTACTCCGTCACTCTTTGTAATGTAAATCCCGCCTGGGCGGTCCTATTTCCCGGGGCGTGAACTGTGAACTGTCGTCCTCTCTTCTTCCCGCCTGCATGCAGCCCCCGAGTTGTTTCCCGGCTGGACGACCATGTGTTCGAAATGTCCCATGAGCTGAGGCGAGACATGGAGGCAGGCAGGCAGGCAGGTGAGGTGACGAGAAGTTGAGGGTGAGCGAGTGAGCAGTCAGTAGTTCGACGGCATGTATATATAAGACATACACACGACCGTGGACGTCTCCCCTCGCCCAGGAGGGAGCATGCACACCCCTCAGCGCCATCACCATGATAAACGAGTCGTCGACGAGGCCCTCTGGGCGCTTGGGTGCCCGGCCTGCGCGGACCTGGTCGCGGGCGGCGCCGCCGTCCGGAAACTCAACGATGCGTCGCCCATGGCGCAGCCCGGCACCGCCGTCACCGTCATCACGTCCAGGGTGGACGAGATTGTGACGCCCCCCGCCGCTTCCTTCGTTGACGAGACGGGCGTGAACAACATCTACGTCCAGGACTGCTGCGGTTTCGACCCCGTCAGCCACGTCGGCGAGGCGGACGACCTGAATGTGCGGAACTTGGTGCTGAATTCCTTGGAGAAACCTGTGTACTTGGGTTGCTTGGTAAGTAAGGAGACGTGTGCGCGCGTGTGCGCGTGCCCGTGTGTACGACGAATGACAACGGATGTCGTGGGTATGAAGCAACTTGCTCGATACTCCGCCCGTGTTTTCCAAAACCGTGTTTTTGGCCTTTTTGCAATAGCATACACTAGACAGTGATAATCATACAAAATCACCCCCTGAATCAGTCTCTGGCAACCAACCTCGTTACCCGTCGCCAACAACCAGCCAGTCTATACTCAAACAAGCCCGCCAGCCATGACCATCTCCCGGGATCGCCGAACTTGTTGCTTGAGCTTTCTCATCTCCGCTCGCCTTCGTCTGGCGTGCTGCTCATCATCTTCCCCAGGCCGAGAAGCAGTCAGAGTCTCCAGTGCCATCAGGTCAGCGAGAAAGCGGCGAATTCGAAGTCCAGTTTTGTTGCGTACAAAGGCGTCAATCTCTTCATTGCACGCCGCGGAAGCCGCAACATGCAAGCCTCGAAGAACATCGCGGTCCTCTATTTCCCCGTCGTCATAGTCAACCTCCACAGAGTCAGCGCTGCCTTGAATCGATGACGTCCTTTTGGGAATGTTGGGCCGCGCCGTCAGCTTGGCTGGGACGCCCCGACTGGAAGGGCAGCATATTCCAATGTGATGAGGGTCATATTGGGAAACGGGCTGCTTTTTACTGCCCTTACCACGGGGTGGCCCCTGGTGAGGCCGACGTGCAGCTTCATCCACACCGCATTCTTCTGGCTGCCCATTTGTCTGCCCGTCAAACCGCGTTTCAGCTTGTTGTCCGCGTGGGAGTTGAGAAGGCCTTGCCGAAAGACCAGCTTGTGGCTCAATCTTTGAAGGGCGACCAAGCTGGCGCGAATTCCTGACACAATGCCCTACATTTAGTCTGTTGTTACTCAAAAACGCCGTAGAATCCTTTCCAGCTCTATACTGCGGGTCTCTCCCGTGCCTGTGCCGATGTCCCACCAAACCGCCGTCGTCATGAGGCCTGGGTTTCGGCATTGTCAGGGAATGTCTTCGCCCTGTGGTGATGAAATTCGGCCTGTCCCATCGTTGTGTTGTCTCGCCCGCACCGCTGCTTCCTGCCTCTTGAGCACTTGACTTTTGATAAGGGCTGTGAGAATCGGAACCAACGTACTCTGGGGCACAATACCCGAGAGCCCCTGCCTTGGTGGGTCGATTTTGTCTTGACTCTTTTCCTGATTTCCTTCTAGGTACCTTGGGTTTTGCTGAAGGGACCCTAAAGTGTGCCCAGTCAGGATCCGTTGTTAGTTCTTCTTCAACAGGGAAGCAAGGGAGACAGCGTCGAGTCGGCCGCTTCTTCCGCATTCGATGGTTTCTCTTCTTCCGAGGGGGCGGCACTTCGTCAATGAGTGCATATCTAAATTCATCCATATCTCGTGACTGTGCAAAAGATATTTCCGTACCAGTGCTTTGGAGCGGACCGGAACCATTGTATCCGTCCAGTTGCGCATGTGAACAACCATGACCACGCTGTCGACGCAAAGTAGTCGGGGGCACCTCTGGCTGCAGATGCTGCAGGTAATGAGGCACGCCTTGAGCCTGCTCTTTTGACGTCACAGCAAGCCCAGCTGCCCGAAGTTGAGGACGAAATGGGAGGAGTTCCGAGACTGTATGAAGTGTCGCATTGTCTATCGGCGGTGTGGGTGTAGCATTCACAGTCTTGCCTCGAGCACATGTCTGATTTGCGTAAGCCTCGAGATCTCTGGCGAAGCCATTCAAGGCATGGTGTTGGCTAGATGTGCGTGATGCACTGTCGTTTTGAGGCGAGTTTCCGCCTGAAAATTTCGAGACCAGCCGAAAGTGTTGAGCAATGCTTCGAGACACTGCAGCTACAAGTGCGGAATCAACAGACTGACGCCTTGACGGGTTGACAACATCTGCGGCGGCATCTATCAGACTGTGGCGAACATTGGCCGGCCCTCGATGAGCGGGAGTGAGAAGTCTGCGCTGCGACAACTGCAGTGGAGGTTTTGGTGCTGAATGCTTGGTAACAGGATGATGCGTGGGAAGATGAGAATCAAATTTGTCAGATTCCGTGGCTTGGCCGGCAAAAGGCGGTTCCGGAAAGGAACTCAGGTCAAATGGAGATTCGGATTTGTGCAGCTGTTGTCGAACGTTGGGGCTCACATCAGATGACGTCTTCGTCTTCATCCATGCTGGCAAAGGCGCTGTTTTGCCCCCCGAAGTCCTAGAAGATGCGTCTATGTGTTGCTGTCGACAGTCGCTCCCGAGGCCATGGTGCTCCCCGACATGCTTTGGCTGCCCGAGACCGAAGAGCTTTGTAAACGGCGATTTGCGAACAGAGCAGCGAGGCCGGCGAGGACGTCTGGAGAGAAAGACAACACGGGAGCGCGGGCGGTGGGTATCAAATGTGCTTTGTAATGAATTGTTTGCCTCGGGGATAGATGCTAAAGGAACCATCTCGACCAGCGAGCAAGATGGTGGAAGCAACGTGTCCAACAGAGACTATCCAAGAAAAGTAAGACCAAGTACTGGCTATGAGGTACTGCGATGAACGCGAGGTGCTGCTCGATAGCTACTAAGGCATGATGAGAACACCTCGTCCACGACGCGGCCTTGGTGGATGCCGGGGCTCGAAACATGGCGACGGCCAGGAAACGCGGAGAGAGACGAGTAGGGTCAAGTTGCGAGCGCCTTCTTCAGCAAGAAACAGAGTAGAGAGGGCCCGGGGGACGATCGGTCGACGGACGCCACTCGTTTCAGGAAGGTGCTGGCGTGCTCGAGAGGGTCACTGTATGTGTTCGGATTCCGCATGTTGGTTGGGCCTTCACCTGACATCCTTGATGCCAGGATTGGAGTAGACGTCAAGCTGCCTCCGACCCTTGCGAAGCAGAAACTCAATGGCGGCGAAATCGCGCTTTTCTATCCTGAGATTCCGATCAAACTCGGACCTGAACAAGGATGACGCGTTAGGAACAAATACATGTGCAACCAGGTACGCAATCCGTGTCTACTGCGCGCCTACCTAGCAAATTGTTCGAAGTGAGCTCGAGTGCTCTTTCACCTATCAGCTGCCAACTGCGATCAATGCAGGGAGGGACATGTCGGTGGACAACCTACGACGGGTTTCTTACGGCTCTCGCGCAGGCAACTGCGGTACAGAGCCAGAACCTCTTTCTGGAGACCGGAGAGGCGCATTGTGGTGACGGCTGGAGGTTAACGCGAGCTGTTGATGTTGATGAACGGCAGAAGTTTGGCAAAGACATGGCCGGAACAGCAGAGCTGCCTCGAGCAGAGAGGGTCTGGCCAATGGGAAGCTAGCAATCCACATGAGGGGTGGTCTGCACAACCCTAACCCGAGCAGCAGATGGTTGTCCCCTCGTGCGGCAGCAGACCAGCATCCTTTGGCGCCTCTTCACAAGACAGACAAGACAGGCTGCGATTTGTAGATGAAGACCTTAAATGGCGGCACCAACATCTTTTCTCTTTTTGCGCCTTTCACAAAGGTCAGTTGTATCTTGTGGATCAGGACGTCGGTTAGTAAGCTGGTGCCATCCATTTGTTCGTATTAATACGAGGAGCGAGTGCTTGGCTGCCAAGTCGACCCCGAACCATCATCACGCTTACACATCAACCACGACCAATCCTTGACCAAACATCAACTTCACCAACCCACGACTCTGTGTGTTTTCGAGACTTCAGCAATGCCTGCCTTTTCTGTGAGTAGAGATGACCCTCTCTCGCTGCAAGCTGCTCATGGTCGTGGTCGCTGCTTGCCACGCCGATATCGCTTCCGCAGTTCTGAGCTGAGTCCCGAGTCCTGACTGACGCTCATGCTCGACCACAGCGTCTAGTCCGCTTTCTTGCCAGAGATGGCCGCACATACTACGGCGATGCTATCCTCCCAAGAGGGGTCACAGACATGGCCAAAACCAGGCGAGCTCGCATTGTCACTGGTGATATATTTGGACAGCATCAAGTCACAGACCAAGTGGCTGACATCCGCCTCTTGCTACAACCCTTGGATCCCGCCCACGTCAAGACCGTCCGATGTCTTGGCTTGAACTACGCCGACCACGCCGAAGAGACGAATATGCCCCAGCCCCAATATCCAATCCTTTTCTACAAGCCGGCCACATCGCTCTCCGGCCCATCTGACCCAATTCCGGTTCCGGATGTGGCCCAGGAAGGCGCCGGCTTGGATTACGAGTGTGAGCTGGTAATAGTCATCGGAAAGAGAGCCGTCGACGTTTCCGAGTCAGAGGCTCTCGATTATATTCTTGGATATTCCGTCGGCAACGACGTTTCACATCGAGACTGGCAGATCAAGCGAGGGGGAGGCCAGTGGTCTCACGGCAAGGGGTTCGACGGCTGGGCACCGTATGGACCAGGCATTGTCACTACTGACCTCATCAAGGATCCTCACCAGTTGAGGATTTGGACCAAGGTGAATGGCGAAACCCGCCAGGTGTGTACATTTTGCGTGACCTTGATGTGATGGGAGCTGCTGCTAAAGGACATCAGAATGGAACGACTGCGGATCTCATCTTTGGAGTAAAGAAGACCATCTCGCTACTGAGTCGTGGCGTGACCCTTCTGCCGGGAGACGTCATTTTCACAGGAACGCAAGTGACTTTTCCTGTTGGCACCAGATGCACCATTGAATCATTCGTCTGACTTTGGAATAGGCCCGCGGGTGTAGGCTTGGGCAGGAACCCTCCGGTTTGGCTCAAAGATGGAGATGTCGTTGAAGTTGGTCTAGAACAAGTTGGAACCTGGTAAGCAATCTGATCTCTCCGACGACGAACAGGGGCATCGAAATGCACCTCGCTAAACAAAGTACTACCGTGTGCAGCACCAACACCGTTGAGTTTGCAAAGGTCGAAGCAAGGCTGTAGATCAGTTATAGGAATAGATGCCTACATTTCGGGCCTTGACACATGACCAGATACGCACTTTATTCTCAGATGACGAGGGGAGGGCATGCTGGGTAGAGTAAAATCTAGTGGTGTTCTCGCTCATTGCATGGCGGCATTCTTGCGTGGCATTCTTGTATCTTTGCTGTGTACAGAGACCCGAACTTGAGGATTCACGAAACCCTCGTCGAAGCGCAAACATCAAGCCGCTCTTGATGGACGTTTCATGTCCTTGTCGTGGCTCTATAAGTAGTGCCGGCCTGTCACACGATAGCAGTAGCACTAAGCTAGATATTACTTAGATAATAGTTAAAAGCCTTAAATTAATCTACAAAAGAGAGAATTATATATACTCTTTAAATAAGTATGCTTAGCTCTATATATTAAGTATATATTAACTTAATTCTATATATATATATATTTATTAGCTTTAGATAGGTATTTTAAAGTATATTAAGTATACTATTACTATATAATATACTCTCTAATTAAAGCTGTATTTAAAGCTATTATAAGCCTTAAACTCTATAAGTATATACTTAATAAAGTATTTAATTAAAGCTTTTATATACTTACTAATACTTTTAATTTACTTTAATTCTATTATTTTATATAATATAGCTATACTATTTTTTAAGTAAATTAAAAGTAAGTATTATATACTTATTAGCTAGCTGCCTTATTAGCTAGCTGCTCTTGCTCTTTATATTTATATATACTTTCTAAGAGTATTATAAGCTCTCTTTTTTCTTTCTTTTATAACTACTTTTATATAATTATAAGCTTATATTTTAATTATTACTATTATTATTATTATTATTATTATACTTACTAAGTTAAGTAGGTTTATTTATACTAACTACTAGCAGCTATTTCTAGTAAATTAAGGTATATTTATATTTACTATATTTAAGAAGCAGCCTAGTAGTACTACTTCTACTTTTAATACTAAGAAAGTACTAGTAATACTTTCTTTCTCTATATATTATTATCTCTTATAGTATACTAAGCCTATAAAAGTATAAAGAGTAAGTTATACTTAAAAGTATTACTTTATAAGTTCTATATACTAACTATTAAACTAAATCTTTAGAGCTAGATATACTATATAATATACTTTATAAGAGCTATATTTATATAGTTATTATAAGTAAAAGCAATAAAAGTTGCTGCTTTAAGGGAACTATTAGTTGCTTTAAATAATACTACTTATATAAAGTAAGTAATTATACTTACTAGCTTTAGTAAGCTTAATTTTACTTCTTTAATTAGCTAATTACTAATTATATATATAGTTATACTATATTAGTCTTTATTACTAAGTAGATACTATTAATACTAAGTATAAATAGTAAAGTAAGCTCTTAATACTTTATTACCTTTAATTTTATACTTAATTTTAATACTTTAAGCTATAAATATATAATAAGTATTATTAAGTACTTTAATTATAGCTTAACTTTCTTATAAAGTTTAACTTTATATATAAAGAGTTTATACTTAGTATTAAAGCTAATAATACTACTAAAGGCTTATTAGTAGCTAGAGAAAAGAAAGCTTATATAAAAGCTTTATTTAATTAAGTTATAAACTTAGTTATTAAGAAGTAAGCTTTACTTTTATTATTTTATTATAAGGTTTAATATAAGTAGTAGCTTACTTTTACTTATAAGTATTTTAGTATTTAGTATTTTAGTATTACTTTATATAATTTTATTTACCTTCTAAGTATACTTTACTTAAAAAAAGTAAGTACTTATATATTTAAGAGGTAATTAATTTAATACTTCTTTTTAGCTATACTTTTATTTATATAATTATAATATTATAAAAGTTAACTTTAGCTGCTTAAATTAACTAAATTAAGTAGGCCTTTAAAGTATTTAAAATACTACTTATTTAATATCTTTATAAATCTATTAGTAAGCATCTTAGCTATAAGTAAATATATAACTTTAAAGCTTTCTTTTTTATATTTCTATTTTAACTATATATTATAAATATTAATATAGTATAAATATATATTAATTTGCTTACTTAAATTAAGTATATATTAAATACCACTCTAGATAGCTATAGAGCTATATAACTAGTATATCTTCTTTTTATATTAAACCTAGAAAGCTCTTTAATAGAAAGAAAAACTCTACTTACTTTTATTTTTACTTTCTAGGCTAGCTCTAGCTTTATGCTAGCTAGAATCTACTTATTTTCTATATATATATAAGTATTGCTAGCTTTACTAGCTGTATTCTAGGGGGATATATAGTTCTTATAAATCTAGCTTGCTTTTAGCTTTATACTAAGGCTATTTTGCTTCTACTTATATACTTACTTTATCTTCTAACTTCTAATTACTTCTTCTCTCTAGAGATATAGTTTATCTTAGTATAATATATTGCTTATTGCTTTCTTAAAAGTAGGCTAAGCTAGCTTTATACTATTATATAACTACTAGTATAAATATTTAGTATTTAGCTATAATAACTTATATATTTAGATTTACCTTACTTTTATTTTATATATAAATTACCTCTTAGCTTTATAGCTAGTTATAGCTAGTATAGCTGCTATACTAAATTTAGGCTTTTATTAAATATAAAGCTAGCTAGACTTTTCTCTAACTTTCTTCTCTTTTTTCTTTCTCTTTTAACTTCTTAACTTTAATATATACTAAATTCTACTAATATACTAGCTTTACTTACTATTTAGCTAAGCTTAAGCTAGCTTCTACTTAAATTCTAGCTAACTTCTTGCTAAAACTATTTTTATTGCCTTTACTATTATTACTATTATCTTTAAATTAAGTTAAAACTTATATCTATATATATATACTTTATATCTACTTTATATTAAGCTTAACTCTAGGGAATTACTAATTATTATTAGTAGCTATTATTATATCTACTTTTTAATTTATTAATATAAAGAAAGTTATAGTAAGTTTAAGCTAGTACTAGCTTATTCTCTACTTAATAGCTAACTACTATAAAGACTTTTAGTGCCTTTGAAAGCAAAATAATAACTAAGTTCTAGTCCTAGAAAGTTGCTAGTAAGTCTATATATATTTCTATTTCTATCTTTATTCTAGCTTTAACTTTATATATAGCTTAGTCTTTTTTATTAAGTTATTTATATTATTTCTATATTACTTAAATCTTAGCTGCTACTACTACTACTAGCTTAAAGCTAAATAAGCTCTAAGCTTATTTATACTAGGAAATTATTAAGTTAAAGATAGTAATAGTATTATACTTTAACTATTATATTTATAATAATTATTATATCTTTATAAGTTACTTTAAAATCTTACTATTTTTAGCTTTAATTTAGCTATAGTATAATATAATATTTAAGACTTATTCTATCTTTCTATACCTCTAAAAAAAGCTAAAAGTAGTCTTTAAGATAATACTATTATATATTATAGTAAGTAGTCTACTCTACCTCTAGCTTAATATTACTAACTAGCTATTTTAGTTTATTTCTTAATTTTTTAAGAACCTTAAGGCCTTAGAGAAAGCTAATAATTAAAAGAAGAAGAAGTAAGCTTAATTTAGCTTAATACTAGCTAGAGAATTAAATAATAGTATAAACTACTATAAAAAGATTCTAAGTTAGTTAGAGAAAATTATAGTATTAGTTACTACTATAGCTATATTTATAGTAAAGTTAGTTTAAATTCTAAATAAGTATACTAGCTATATAGCTAAAATAAAAGCTTTACTTATAAGTATAAATAAGTATACTTACTTAGTAGAACTCTAGAAGAAGAAGCATAAAGAGAGGTTTATAGATAAATCTAGAGCAGCTATAAGTAAGTATAGTAGTAACTTTAGTATATAGAAATAAGTCTATATAAGTTATAAGTTTACTTAGTAGTAGAATTAAAAAGAGAGAGAGAGAATAAAGTAAGAGTAGCTTAAGCTTAAGCTATATTTAGCTATAGTAGTAGCTACTTATACTATAAGCTTAATATACTTTACTTTAATAAATTTAATAATTATTTAACTTTACTATTACTATAATAGTAAGCTAGTATTTAGCTAGTATTATTATAATTCTACTCTTAGTATTTAGTTAAGTAGTTTTACTTTCTACTCTTTAGCTAGTTTAGCTACTAATTAGTAGTAAGTTATTTAGCTTATATTAATAAACTACTAAGTTAGCTTTATTACTAGCCTAAAGTAAGTTAAAGCTTATTTAACCTCTCTATTATTTTATAGCTAATTTAGTAGTTTTATACTTATATAAAGTAAGTATAATAAAATAATATAGTATATATCTTTCTTCTTAGTGCTATACTAATATAAAGGTAACTTTATACTAAGTACTTACTTATAGTAAAGAAACTTATTTAGCTTTATCTTGCTTATTTATAGCTAAATTAATATAGTAGTTTTATACTTATATAGGCTTTTATATAGCTAAGTTATTTATTTTAATATACTTAGTAGAGGTATATTCTCTATTACTTCTTGTTAAGAACTAGCTTTATAGTATATATTTCTACTTTATATTTTTTATATATAGTATATACTTAATATACTTCTGCTTTATAAATAGTTTAGTAACTTTATACTACTTATTTTTATTATTTTCTTTTTAATAAGTATTATTAATACTTTTTTTATACTACTAAAAAATTTTATTTCTAAAGATTACTACTACTATATTTACCTCTTTTTTTTATATTACTTTTATTTTACTTCTATATTGCCTCTACTATTCTAAGTATAATATAGTATATACTATATACTT